CACATGCACCTGCACACACAGATCCACACACAAATATGCTTGTGAAAATGTATGTATCCCTGTCTCTTAAAATTTCTAATGAGAACTTATATTCTCTACCCTCCTTCTAAATCCCTTCTTGCACTAAATAGCCTTAGTTCCTCTTGGTCTGGAGTGCTTTATTTTTCTCACTCTTTTTATACATCACCCTTGTTACTAAAGTACTATTGTTATTTTACAAGGTTGTAGCATTGATAAAGTCTGAAGCTTGTGTACAAAAGTCCCTGCCTTATATTTTTCTTTTGATGGAACTGAAGTAAAACACAAACTTTTGTTTTTTATCTGCAATAAAACATTTTGAAGCATTTTGAAAATCAATGTTCAAGAGACATTTGGAATTCCTATGGAAAAAGAGGATTAGTGAGAGTGACTGCCCTCAGATGACACAGTAAGTTGTCCAACATTGACCAGCATCATGGCCCAAGCACCACGTACCGTGACAGTTTTTTCCATGTCACTGAATTCTCTGGAACATGACAACAACTGGGAGAGAAATTTCCAGCTGACTTATAAATTAAAAGAGAAACCAGGCCGGGCGCTGTGGCTCACGCCTGTAATCCTAGCTCTTGGGAGGCCGAGGCGGGCGGATTGCTCAAGGTCAGGAGTTCAAAACCAGCCTGAGCAAGAGCGAGACCCCGTCTCTACTATAAATAGAAAGAAATTAATTGGCCAACTGATATATATATAAAAAATTAGCCGGGCATGGTGGCGCATGCCTGTAGTCCCAGCTACCCGGGAGGCTGAGGCAGAAGGATCACTCGAGCTAGGCTGACGCCATGGCACTCACTCTAGCCTGGGCAACAAAGCGAGACTCTGTCTCAAAAAAAAAAAAAAAAAAAAAAAGAGAAACCAAAACCATTCACACTCTAGTGTGTCATTACATGTCTTTAGCTAGAAGATAGTATTCAATAGAACGATTGCAACTTTGTAGTAATAATTTGAGGTAATATGCAGCAGCAGAAAGATCGCTGAGTACTTTAAAAACTATTGGTACATAAAGAATTAACATAAAATCTGATTGTAGATTGAAGGCCAAACTTTTATTCACTTACAAGTCTCAAATGGACCTTAATATACTAGTGTTTGTGACACTTATGTCCTCATTAACTTCTTTATTCATCCACTCAATCAATATTTACTTAGTGTTTATTAATTCTTAAAATCTGCCATGTTTTCCCAAGCAATTGATACCACTTCTCCTTGAAACACAGTTCACTCCCCTTATTCTGTTCTGTTTTTCAGTCGTTTCTGTCTGAGTCTCTTCCCCATATGAGATAATAAACACCCTTGTAACAGCAGTACTGACTCACTTATCTTTATAATCCTTGAATCTCCTGGCCTTAATCTTGTAGGTGGGAAGCACTCCATTGACATTTGTTGAACTAAATTGAATTGAAAAGTGGAATCAAGATGGAAAAGTATCCTGGATTCATTTTTCTTGAACTTCAATCAATGAATAAAGATTTAGAAGTTGCATTCATAAAGATTAGTTTGGCCATACTCTTTTAATAAAACAATTTCAGTCTTTGCACCTGGCTTTTACCTTATTAATATGCATAGGCCTGATTTTATAACTTAATTATTTGACCAAGACCATGGATATTCCCAAACAACTGTTTGTTTCTTAAAAAACAAATAAGAAAAAGTAATTAAAGGAATCAATTAGTCACTTCTCCTAAGTATTTTATTCTTGTAAGGATGAGCTCCTTTGAGAGTATACGATCAATGTAACTTGTTTATCCTTCCTAACCTATTCTACAGAACTCTAAGCAGACATTTGATCATTAGTCTTTGCCTAGTTACATTCTCTGTTTCTTTTAAAAATATAAAAGATGCAGATTCTCTGCCTGTACATTTTTCTGTCTTTATGAAACACCATAATTAATTTTTTAAGCAAGTCCTCACTGTAGGCATTGTTTTTCCATGACAACTCGGCCAATCACACTTTTATGAAGGCAGTGCTATTTTATATTCACATCATCTCAAACTGTTCTTTTCCCTATTTATAAAAGAATAACATCAAATACAGAGACACAAAATTTGGTCTACATCCAAAGTCAAGTCACTCAAATTTATGTTTTAACATAAATATTCTTCACTTTCATTGAGATGATGAAAGCCATGTAAAACAAAAACCATGACATTATCAGTTGTGCATAATTATTTAAAAATTGCTTAAACAAACAACACTATTTACAGGACGCTATTCTATGGAGTGTAAATTGGATTTTTTCACAAAGAAATTTCCACCTAGTGGTGGATGCTTGGCAGAGGGACCAAGAGCTGGCTTTATACCATGGCCACCCCAGGTTGGGGTGGTAGGTGAATTTTCTACTGTTCAAAGGCACTGAGACCTTCAGGGCAGTTTGAGCAGGATGTTTGCTTCTTCCAAGCAGGGATCTGGCTCAGCAAAGATGGTGATCTCTCTAGTGTCACCCACCAAGCAAATAAATCTCCAGATCCCTGCTACCTAAGGTCCCTGGTCCCCAGAATGTTGGTGCACAATGAGCTCTGCAAGATCTTTTGTGCCAGGTTTTTTCCCTTTCAGTTCCTTGTGGTTTTTCCATCCCTCACCCTTTGAAAATGTATTGTATAGGTTTTAATTTATTACAATTCTTTGCTACACAATCTAGAACTGACAGTGATCAATGTATGGAGACATACCCAGTGCAGCATTTTCACTGGTTCCACATCTTTTTAACATTTACAAGTATTTGCACCTTACAATGAATCTTTTATAAAACTGGCATGGGGTTTTGACTGTAGTCACACAGAAATCACAAGCTGAAGGTGTTAAGAAAGAAGAGGTGGGGTGAGTATGGGGGCTTAGAGAGAGTGCTAACAGGCTTAAATAGCCACACCAAACAAGGTTATAGTGAATCAGTAAGAGATAAATGATGGGTTGCTGAGTGGCAACAATCCCTGCTGGGGCCAAATAGCAGGAATCTGTAGTAGACTCAATAAATAGGGTATGTGGTCTCCAGGCTGAGTACCAACCATTGAGTGTCACCTGATCACTGCCTTTTGCACAAGCTGTACCTGAGATTCCCAGAGAATAATTGGCTCCAGCCTGTTCAGCCCCTGTTAAATCACTCAGGTCTGGATTACCCAACATGATGACTAATTAAGTTGTTTCTTTCCTGAACTTTCTTTATAATCCCAAATGTTCTGTAAAATGGTACAAATACATAGCAAAACTTCCAAGAAAGTAAAGAAAATCTTCAGGGGCCAAGAATGACAGGCTGTCGTGATGAAGGAAGTTGCCAGGTTGGGTAGCCCAATTGGGGGTTTAATGTGCACCCAAGAACAGGCGGTTTGGGTTCAATAAAGGCAATAAATTAGACCTCAGATGCCATACAAACCCAGACCAATGAAAGGCAACAGCCCAATAGCAGAGTATAGTAAAAAAAAAAAAAAAAAAATTGTCACCTACACAGATTAGGGAATCAACTAAGTGTTTTCTGTCTTGGCCTTGGCTTAGTGTAGTGAGGGGAATATCATCCCTGAGAATTTGTCATCACAGCCCTGTTCTTAAGACAGATTGTATTTTCAATTCACACTACACACTGTGGTCTGGGAATCTAGAAGCTGAGAAATATCATAAAAGTGGCCCCAGCCAGTGATACTAACATTGCAATATCTATTAAAAGCAAACACAAAACATCTTTGGTGGGATATTTTAAGGGATACTGGCTTGCTTGAGAGTTTCCCAGAATTGTTGAAGAGCAATGGGTCCTCATGGTCAGGAAGTACAAATCCTGAATGATATAAACAAAAATTAATTAAAAAGTAGAAACCTAAACTAACTGTACTAAAACTACAGAAATTTAAAGTCAAAAAAAAAAAAAAAAGGTCCTAGATGTAACCAAAAGGAAAGGATGAGAAAAGCATGAATTTTATATCACAAATAGCCATGCATAAAAAACTCTGCTTTCAGGCACAATTCATATGTTTTGCTTTTAAAAGAGTTTTCTTGTATTTCATACATAAGTCACTCAATTACAAAGAAGTGTTTTTAAAGGATATTAAAATGCTAAAAACAATTTAATTTTTGTCTTTGATAGTGAAAGTATATGAAAATCGTGGATCGCATTGTTACCCTTAAAGACACCAATGAGGTTACAAAGCTGCTCGTTAGTTACCACAATTAGATTTTCCCTTATTGAAGGAATTTTCAGTTTTTCATAGAATAGGAGTTTTAATCTCTTATGCAGAAATAAAATTGTACTTTTTAAAAATCCCTGGTATTTCCTTTTCTTAAATTTTTTGAGTTTTTAATGTCCTAACATTCCTAAAAACGTTCTCAGAAAAAAATGGATCTAACAGAGAGAAAAGCTTCTTGATGTTGTTTTTTTCCTTATTCTTGTTATTATAATAAAATAGTCCCATATCCATATGCAGATGAGATTAACTGAATATTCTCTGGTATAAGCGGTACCTAAAAACAAAGATTGTGCCTTAGAAAAAAACCTTGCTGCTCAGGACAACTATCCAATCTACTTATGGATGATAATTCTTACCTTTTGAAGACACCTAACAGTCTCTCTTGCATTTCTATAAATTATCAACAAATTAAAAACATCTAAATTCTTTGGACCAAAATCATTATCAGTTTCTATGTTAATGTATTCTCTGGAGAAATGTGTGTAAATTGTTTGTTGAGTCATAGCGTTGTCATTCTCTTTGAGGAGATTATAACATTAATTTTCTAAATAAGATGTAATGAAATAACTTGATTATTTATAGAGTATGACTGAATAAAAGTGATATTTTTACCACTTATTTTAAGCATGGCTTATAAAATTCTTCTAATAAGAATGTATGATTTTGATAAGGAAAACTATATCATTTTCCATCATGATTCCTCATTGAATTATGCTAGAATAGTTAATATTTTTTTAAATAAATAATCTTTCAGTAAAGTTAAATTGATTTTCTCTCATTTGCTTATGTCTTCACAGATTGTAAGTGTTGGAAAGCATGTTAAAGGTTACCATTATATCATTGCGAACTTGGTAAGAACTCTTTATTTTCTACTTTTCATAAGAATTGCTCAAGTATTCTAGATTATTTTAGCTGTACCTTAAAATAATGCTTCAATAAATGGTTAGTCTACATTACTTACTAAGCTTTTATAACACATAGGTTATTTTATTACAATGATCATTATATTTCTAATGTAGAATTCAATACATTTTTGTGCAGATTGGCTTGTTATCTGCCAAAGAGACCTTTAAAACTAATTACAGTAGTTACTTTGCTATGATATCACTTGTCAAGTTAAATAATGTCTTTCTTCTCTGTCTAAATGATAAATGCTACTTTATGGATAAACATTGGCAATACTTGGATGTTACAAGAATGATCTAAACTGATGACCTATGTTTTCCAGTTTTAAGAATAATAGTATATAATGGCTATATAACCAAATTTTTTGAATGGGAGTAATCCAAATTTATTTTTAAATTATGTCAATTATATACCAATGGTGAACAAACAAGATAAATGCATTTTTATGAAATCCTTAAAGGCTTGAGACAAGTCCTTTTACATTTCTCGGCAAGGCTCACTAAATGTCTCTTGTTAACCTTGCAGTGTAGGGCAGACACTGGCTCTGGGGAGGGTCACCCTCTCTTGCTTTATTAGAGTACCATCTGCCCTAAGAGCTTGGTCCCCAAAGTGGTTTATCCTAGAGAAGTTAAGAATGTTATCTCCTTTTTCTGTCTATTCCCACCACACATTTATTTGATGAATATCTTGTGCTTGAAGCAGGAAAGGAGCTAAAGGATGCAAAAGAGGTTCAGATCTGTCCACTCTTTCCACGTGGCAAGTGGACCACCACACTTTGAGATAGGAATTTTCAGTCTTTAGTGACCTAGGTTTCACTGTGAAACTGAGATATAAGATACAGCAATATATTGTGAACCATTATTGTATTGTGTTTTTTAGATAAAGTATAATTTTGCAACTTAATGGATTATCTGGAAAATTTTTGTCTTTTCCATTGCTTTTAGAAGGCGTAGTGTGGGTGTTTTGATATAAATGTTTTTATAAAAATATAAATCTAAAGCAAATATATTCTGGTGTTAATCACTATAAAAAAGACCTTATGATTATGGGATGTCTGTATTTACAATTTCATTGTACAATGAGATTATAATTAATTATTTTTATATCAAATATAAGGTTTTGACATTTACCCTTACAAACAATAGAATCCAAGGGGGGGAAATCAATATGTTATATATAAACTATCATTCCAGAAATGAATTTCTGACATTGGCAACTAAAATAAATAAACAAATACAAAATGGAAAGAATTAATATTTATAACACCCTAATGGGTATCATAGCCTGTCATAAATAGCCCTAGTAGATAGCAGCATATATGTTATCTAAAGTATGAACATAGGAAATGGAAAAACATTTTACCTGTAGTAGAAAATAGAACCATCATGTTCACTAAAAATCATATGTAGTTGATATCTTTGTTACACATGATTAGGCCAGTGACTTGCATGTCTCTGCATTATAATATAGTGTATTAATATGGATTTTGTTGACATATTCATTTATCCCTAAAGAACTGTTACTTATAACACCAGAGTGGTTTTTGTTTCATTGAGCCAATCAGCAACTATTTCTTGAGAACTATGTGCATAGGATTCCCAACTGTGAAGTCAATCTAGAATCAAAATGAAAAGTTACATTAACATTGTACTTAATGTTAAAAGACTGAATGATTTTCCCCTAACATCATGAAAAAGACAAGGCTGTCCTCTCTCACCACTTCTATTGAACCTTATACTGAAGGTTCTAGCAGGGGCAATCAGGCAAGAAAAATAAATAAAAGGCATCCAGATTGAGAAAGAATAATATTTTATATATAAAAAGTCCTACAGAATCAAAAAAAATTGTAGAACTAATGAGTTCAGCAGGGTAACACAATGCGAGGTCAATATATAAAAATCTATTATATTTCTATATACTGGCAATAAATAGTCTAAAATTAAATTAAGAAAAGTTCCATTTATAATTTATGATTACAATTTACAATAAACAAGAAACTGCTACTTAAGGCTGAATCAATGGCATTTGTAAAAACTGATTTTTGAAATAGCAATTCTTACTGGTTACTGGGTGGCTATAAATATTCCTGATTTAAAATATTCTATAGACACAATCTTGAAAACCAAAGCAGAAGGTATGAAGTCCAACCCATATTTACCAAAAAGAGAAGAACGAAGCTAAGCAGACATCAATAGGTGATGCATTCAATTGTATCATGAATTTATAAGCATGTGTTTTTGTAAAAGTCAAGGAACTCCCTTATTTAAACAAGGTTATCTCCCTGGAGAAGCTGAGTTTAAATGCAGGTACTCCTTAGATTCTTCTAAAAGGATAATTCTCTAAACCAAGAAACAAAGTAAGGAATGTTACAGAGATAGTGGCTTCCTGATGGTCACTAAATTCTTTCTTTGGCTGAAATGCAGAAGGAAGAATCCATGTATTTAAATAAAATAATGCTCAATTTGTTTATGAGTAAAGACAAAAATAGGTTGTGAAAACTATTTGGCATTATTTAAAATAGTCTTGTCATTATCTGTAAGTTGAACTTACCTTTTTCAATTAACTACCATTCCATCCCATGCATCATTCTATCCTGATGAAATGGGAATAGATTGATGTTTTCCATGTCCCACTGATCTTCTTAGCCTTTGAAGCTATTGCAATGTGTTGGCATCTTCCCTCCAACCAGACCAAGAGAAGTGAGAATCCTCTCCCTTAATACTCTACCCTCAGCCAGGGTTCAACAGGGAGTTATTAACTCATCTGAATAGCACGAGCTACGCCTGATATCTGAATGAATGGGCATATCCCTCTCTGATTCTCGAAATTTTTCTGTAATTATCACTACCACTCTCATTAACAATTTCACATCAAGTATGAATAAAACTTACAAGAAATAGAAGATTGCTAAAATCTCTTTTTCTTTTCTAAGTCCTACATGTGCATTGTATGTGGGTACATATATTTTTCATTTAGACAAACACATCATCAGCAGTACTGGTGAAAGCATATGGCTTCTCTCAATAGATTAAGCTCCCTTCTAGAAATTTCCAGGAGACTTAGAGGCAGGAAAACTTCATCTGTCCATTGGTTCATTGTAGTGTGTCTTTTAGGAATTTAAGAAGAAAATTGCTTCCCTACTTTGCCTGTAGACTTTTTCTATTCCAGATATTTTTTTTCACTTTGCTGCTAGTTATTTTTTGGAGATAAGTACCATTATACCATTTCCCTGCTTAAATTTTTTATTTGGCTCCAGGCTCCAAATATAGTAAAAGACATCAGACCCTTCATGATCAGATTCTTTGTGGGTTTTCCAGCTCTACCTAATTCTTGTCTCACTTCTCTACAGAACTTGCATTTCTCTCAAAATGACATACTGTCCCAGCTCTGAATCATTGCCCCAGTTTTATCACCTTCTAGCAGAGTAAGCATTCAAAACCCAAGCACTAGTCTACTTAAATCCTTTAGGCTAAGTATTTACACCACTGAACTTGATGTGCAAAGCCCTTTAAGATTTTACCCCTACTTAACTCCAGAATTTCTTTCCTACTTCACTCATATGTCCCTTCTGCAAACCGAACTAATTCCCAGACACCTAATGTTACTTTCCTCTTCACAGGTTTAGCTTAAGCTGTCATCTCAGCAAGGAGGCATTTACCCCATCCAATCCTAACCAGTAGTCACTGTCATTTCTTCCAGAAAGCTGCCCCTAAATATCCACTCTGGTAGTCCCTCTTCTGGGTTCACAAACCACCCTGTGTACCAATAGCATAAAATTCATTCATTTTTTTTTCATTCATCAAATTATTATTTTACACCTCCTCTGTAGCAGATTCTATCCAACATCCTATGGCACAGCTGCAAATATGACATTAGCACACTGCAAGTTCATTGAGGTCTGGAACAATGTCTCTCTCTCTCTCTTTATTTATTTATTTATTTTTTTTTACCATATACAATGGTCCATATGCTTACTCTTTATCTGTTGAACTTCTGCTTATCCTCTAGCACCCAGCTTATGTCATTATATTTGTTTTGTTACCATAATTTTTTTTTAATTTGGCCTTAAAGATAGATGCTTATTTTATACATTGGAAAATGAGGCTCAGCATAATTTACCCAAGATCACACAGATATTAAATCACAAAGACAGGTTTGAAGATCTGGCCTGTCTGGTTGCAAAGAATAAACTAGTTGTAAGTAGCAATAATGCCACCAAGTGCCCATTCATTTAAGTATTTCTCACACTACCCTTAAGGAGATCTAGCCTTAGACACATGTTGTTCTATGTTCATATTCATTCGTCCTCCAGCAGTCAGATCATTTAAATATGGTTACTAATAGCAACCAGGAGCTGGTGTCATTTGTTCCTCATGCAAGACATATTCTTAGAATCGTTTTCCCATTTATATTTTTAATTTTTTAAGATAGATTCAGTTTATATCTAGGAAAACATCTGGCTCTATCATAAAGAAGTATAAAATTTTAAAATGTTCAGGATATATAATTTAAAAAGAATTGAATTTGTTCCTTACCTATACCACACCACACATACACACACACTGCATTCACACCTTATTCAGAAGATATAGAATTTATGATATAAAGAGCAAAGTAACTGTTAGGGACCGGCTTCCTGCACCCCGCCAGGGAGACGAACAAAGACACCAAGGATGCAATCACTCAAGAGGAGCTTTATTTTCTGGCTAGCCAGGGTCTAGGCCCTAGAGTGCCAGCGCAGTGGCCGCTTTTACAGGCAAGGACCCCGACCTGAATTGCGGGGTGCCTTTTATCCCCCCCCCAAAGGGCCCTAGCAAGGCACAAACTAATTACGCGATGGCCATGAGCTGACCTTTGAAGTGATTAATTTTCTTTGAATTCTGCGCGATCCCTGTGCATCCCACCTCCCTTTTGCCTTTCTTCACAACCCAAGAGATAACTGGAGGTATGAGTATAAACAGATGTGTGCTGTTCGCTAATTGCCTCACCCTACTTCACACGAAGGGGGGGGAAATACCTTTCTTGTTGTGCCACTGAGACGCCGCCGAAGGGCCATCGAGGCGCCCCCACAGTAACTTGTCTACATTTACGTTAGTTTCAGAGTGGAGACTGGACATGATTCCCAAAATTTGTAGTTTTTATTCAAGTGTAATGATGCTAGTTAAGATTCCATCAACTTGGTAAAATTGTTTTACTTTTTCCTTTGTGCTTCCTCTGTTTATCAACTTTTCTGCATTGAGCATGTCTGGCTCTACCATCTATCTACATGTGTATCAAAAATGCATACTTGGCCAGGCACAGTGGCTCATACCTGTAACCCTAGCACTCTGGGAGGCCAAAGCGGGAGGACTGCTTGAGCTCAGAAGTTTGAGACCAGCCTAAGCAAGAGTGAGACCTAGTGTCCACTAAAAATAGAAAAATTAGCTGGGCTTTGTGGCGTGTACCTGTAGTCCCAGCTACTCAGGAGGCTGAGGCAGTAGGATCACTTCAGCCCAGGAGTTTGCGTTTGCAGTGAGCTATGATGATGCCAATGCATTATACCCAGGGTGACAGAGTGAGACTCTGTGTCAAAAAAAAAGAAAAGTGCATACTTTAAGTCAATTTCTTAACAAACTAAGATATTTACCATTCAATAGAATGGAAAAATCAACACAATAGATTCTCCCCATGCTATTTGATGTTACTTCTGTTAATTGCACCAGGCCTATCTTGATATGATTTAGTCAACCTAAGGACCTGAAATGCAAAACACAGTAGAAATATTTTCTGAATTAGATAAAACTTAAAGAATGAGCATCTATTAAACATAAATGATGTGATAGACATTAATTTACATAAATAGTTACCAGGATATCTGACACCTACAATTTAAAACATTTCCTTTTTCCCCAGAGAATGTATGAACTGCAAATGGAAATTAAAAGGAAAACCAAGTTGGAAGTTGATCTGGAAAGGGGTCATTAACTATTGTGAAATCCAAGCAACATAGTAGGCGAGTTTCACAAGTAGAAAGCCTTTCCCTTCATTTCGTCCCCATCTACCCTCAGGAACATTAGTTACTTAGATACTTAACCACTGATCTCCCCCTGACTGTGAAGTAATCAATTTTATTACAATGTTGCCCTAGAACTATCAGTCCATGATATTCTTTGGATAAAAACTGAAATATAAATGGCCACCAAAGTAACTGTTTCTAAGAAAACTGCTTCACAATCTAGATCCTATCAATTCTCTCTATAAAATCATAAGAAAATGTATGAAAGGAAAAATAGTGCCTGTACTCAAACAGACATAGCTGAAATTAACTGAGCCATACACCATTCATTCAAATCACAACTGAAAAGGGGATTTATAATCAGACATGACAATTTTCTCCTTTACCTTCAGCAGGATGGAATCAGGGAAATGTGGACCGTTATTTATCAACTAGACTTTGCATCAGATTATTTTTCTGAAGGCTGCGGATTTGCCTGTTTATCTTGCAGCTGTGGATAACACTATGAAAGAAGGCTTGGCAGACCTTCTATTTCATTCATGGCTGAAAGAAAATAATAATGTCATCAATTAGCAGCTAATGCAATAGTTGAATTACTGTGGCTTTTAGAAAACATTGGAATTATTTGGCTGCCTGTGGGTCTGCCCTCTAGTCTGGTAGAAGCAAACAAATGTTCAACTGACATTTTACTAGCTAGAGATTGATGGACAGTGTTTTTCCCATTTAAGAAGCATAGATTTGCTTTCTGGTGTCTAGTTTCTTCATCAATGAAATGAGAAAGTTACTGATGAGCTGTCAAATTAGCTGGCACATAATGGGCATGAAATAAATATTTGTTGAGTGACTTAATTAATAATAGTGATCATTTACTTAATTCAAACCAAATGTGCTAGATACTTTAGCATTATCATTCTCATTTTGCATGTGGGAAACCTAAGGTTAGAAAGTAACAGAGATGGGATTCAAAACCTGGGCCTTTTCTTGTACAGTGTGTCACTTTGCCCTTCCTACAGACACTATGATAATTAATAAAATTAAAAACGCAGGTCTTTTCATAAGAATATGCAAGAGCCTAAGGTGAAAAAGACAAACTCAGGAGATGACTTGTCTGGCTGGAATCTTGGCTGTACCATATATTTGCTGCATGGCCTTGAATAGTTTTGCTTGATCCCAGTGAGCCTCAGCTTTCCTATCTGTAAGAAAAGGCTAATAATAGGATCTATCTCATAGTCTTGTTGTGAGAAATGAACTAGATAGATAATCTGTGTGATGTGCTTAGCATGGTGCCTGGCACACAATAAACTCAGCATCCTTATTAATTACTAGTTCATATACCTGGGTCTCTTGACAGCAATTTTGCTCAATTGCCAATAGATTGGTCTATTTTTTCTTAGATAGCCAAATGGCAATGCACAGATGTTAGCTAGGAAGACAATCTCCTTCATTATAACAATATAAATGAAGAGGAGGAAAAGGGAGTGGAGAGAGGAAAAGGAAGGAGAAGAGAGAGAAAAAGAGAGGGAGGGAAGGAAGGAAGGAAGGAAGGAAGGAAGGAAGGAAGGAAGGAAGGAAGGAAGGAAGGAAGGAAGGAAGTTAGTTAGTTAGTTAGTTAGTTTCCAAAAGCATGGCTAAGGTGCATTCAGGATGGGCCGCCCCAAGTCTTCACTGGTTTCTACTGTAACTGCAGGGTTACTTGTATGCATTTTGCTTCCACCAACAGAATAGACAAAACAATTTTCCTTAGTCCCCTCAGTGAAATTGAAGGTTATTCACATTTTCAAAAGAACTGTGCTAAATACGAAGAGAAAACAAGCAAACAAACAAAAGGCTCAGTTACATTTTCTACAAACACATGTGTGTGTGTATGTTTTACTTTTCTTTGAGCTAATACCTTTGCCTTTGTTAATTTACTTATTTTGGCCTCTTCTTGCAATTGTTTACTTGTTTTACACTTTGTGTTGAGTGTATAATTTTTAAGACACCTTAAGTAGTTAGTGGGAAAAAAAAGTGTCAGGTAAAAAAACAAAGATAGATGGATGATAATAGATAAACATAGATGGATGAATAGATAAATAGTTAATAGATAAGAGACAGATAACAGATAAATAGATAATAGGTAGTTATAGATGGATAATAGATGAACAGGTAGATGATAGATGATTGATAGAAGGAAAGAAGGAAGGGAGGGAGGGAGGAAGGAAGGAAGGAAGGAAGGAAGGAAGGAAGGAAGGAAGGACTTTTCAGAACTTTTGAAACCCAGATAACTACCTCCAGACCAAAAGAGATGATACCCTTCTCTCTCAGCTTCTTCACTTCACCTGGTAGCCACCATCTTTTTTTCTACCACACAGAAGTCCATGAATGGCCTATCTTGCTCTCTTCTCTTGCACTACCATTTCTCAGGACTACAAGGTCTGTAGTGATTAATGCAATCAAAGCTTTTACCCTCTCTGGTTCAAATTACCAGTTCTGTCTGCTTTTAGACCACTTTGTAATTAAACAAAAACCCCTTAAAATGGTCTCATCCATCACAGACTCAGAACACCATAATACCTTGATATTACCTTCATATAGTACATGTTTGTACATATCTACAGCAGAAGGAAATTATGTCCTTAACAAGGAGAGTTTTGATGCTATCATCTTTGTTTCTTATATCTCCCTAATACTTCATAAAAGGTATTCAGAAAGCATCCAAGAAATACTTTAGTTGAACTGAACTAAAAACATTTATATCCTTGTCTCATGTATTGAATTTTGAATTACAGGATTTAATAGCCAAATCGACATAATTAGACTTTCCACCTCTTTTTAGCCATTTTTTTTATTAGAAATCCATTTGGATATACTATATATATTAGTCATTAATTCATGTTTCTATTGAAGAGCTGAAATGTATAATCATGGAATAAATTTAGCAATCTTTTATATCGATTTTTTTAGGGATTCAAGGATATTTCTCTTGAGAGGTTTATACATGGTGGAGCCAATGTCACAGGATTCCAGTTGGTAGATTTTAATACGCCTATGGTGACCAAACTAATGGATCGCTGGAAAAAACTAGATCAACGAGAGTATCCAGGATCTGAGACTCCTCCAAAGGTATTTGTTTTTATATAATGTATTGTTGATATTTTAAAATGTTAGATAGAAAGTTCATTATACAGTTCTTCCATTAACATTTTGTCAGAAATCACCATCTCTGGCATAAGAAAGAAGCATTTTGTCATTATAACAGTATGGCACAAGCCCTTAATCATTTCTAAATTTCTATATTTAAGAGTAAAGTTGTTAGACATTAGCTCAGTTTACTATTATTATTATAATAGTTTACATATAAATTTCTTTGAAGAAATTTTTTTTAAAAAAATGTGTTAATTAAATATTTCCATCAGTAACTTTTCTACCTGGACAAAAACTATATATGCAAAGTGATTTATAATGAGTAAGTAAATCAGGAAATTAATAGAAATGTAAATTTTACAGGCTTCTGTAAAATTTCTCTTTTAATTTAGTGTTAAAGTGTCAAGTTGTTTGACTTTTTTTCTGAAAACATTGCAAAGTGTGTTATTACTATTTGCAAAAATTGCTGGCAAATTTCTGATTACAAGTACATTTTTCTCACCTGAAAAGATAGATGACTTTCTTAGACATTGTGTAAATTATGGCATAATGTTTCCTAAACTCCAACTTAGTGGTTTTGAGCTCCTACCTAATAAGGCATCATCATCATCATCAACATTTACTATTCTCATTGAATGAGTATATTCCAGTAAAAAGCTTTAATATGTAATTTGAAAATTCAAGCCTAGAAAAACTAAGATCTAGAGGTAGAGGGTTTCAGCTCTTCCAGCTTCTAATTATAACACTTTTCCTACTGGTTATGTCACTTTCCCCTCTGTGATATTGGAAGTTGGCTATCTAACCATACCATCTTCACTATACTGTAGAATTATGGGGTTTCAAAACAGAGCATTTATTGGATGTCCACTATTCGCTAAGCACTGTGGTCCAACCCTCTGATTTACAGATGAATCCATGCAAGATATTAAGTGGAATTGTTACTTCGCTATTCTCAAGTCAGGAACCAGGTTCATGGAATACCCAAGGCAGAATCATTTTAATGTCTCCCATTTGATAATCTCCAACTAGAGTTGTTTATGCTACAGCATTGGGCTCTTTGTTGAGGAAAACATTATATAATTCTCACATCACTCACACCTCTTGGCATGATGTTAGGTACTATGTGGCCATTTAACAAATATATACAGTATAGTTAATCCTGATTATTCATGGCAGTTATATTCTATAAATTCTCTTCAAATACTGAATGACCATATATTGAACCATTGCTCTCAGGGAAAACATAGGGCTATGTTGTATGGGCCTCCTGTTACAGGCTTTTTATCAACTGATCAGTACATAACCTTGTTTTATGTGTGTTACTGTTTTAAGAAACCTTGCTTAATATATTGTCGGTTCATTAACATTGAACTCATGGCCAGCATCACTGTGACTCACGCCTGAATGAAGCTTATTTAACATGCGTATTTTCTCCATAAGGCACATCCCAGCCTTCTTGCACTTGGGAACACTGGACAGCACTTCCTTCAACACTGTGCTTTCAGGCCATTTTAAACAGTGAAATCATCAGCAAAAAAGCACAAAACTGCAGAAAACATGGCACTAAATAGACCACAAAAAGGACACTTGTATGAAAGCAGAAACAAGAAAACAGGGTTTCCTTGTTCAGCTGCAGCTGGGACCTTGCATTTTGGATGACTCCAAATTTCTGCCACTCCACATATTCACAAATAGCCCCAAAAAGGGCCACGAGTATTGATTTGGGGGGGGGAGGGGTCACAAATAAATGTTAGCAAGTAGGAAAACTCAAAAATATAGAATCAACAAATAATGATGATTGGTTGTAATTAATTAAATTGCTCTTTAATTGTTTAATATTTCAATCAAGATTAAAAGTGTGATTTCTAATCTTGTCACTTCGCTGTTTCGGGGAAAAAGAAACCTTCTGGAATAAAGATCTGCCATGGTATAGGGCCAAACAAGTCTTTCCAGTGGCATGGCCCCCTACTCGCTTTCCGAACCTCCAGCTGAATGAACTGCCCTATGTTTTTCCGCTCCTTGTTAGTCACTGTGTGTTAGTCCTCTTCCTTCACTTCCACCTGTCTGGATCCAACCATCTTCCAAGACTTTATCCCAAATTCCACTTTCTCTATAAAACTTTTTCTTATTTTTCCAGTAAATATGATTCCTTTCTCCTTCTTACTCTCTGTAATATTTGATTGTGTCATTCTCATCAAGGATTTACCATAATTATTTTGTATACGTAATGGTTCACTTCTACAGACTCCTCTGGGGCAGCAACATCTATTATGATTACTCACCTTTGTAGTTCTCATGATTTCTAACTGGTATCTGGTACCTTTTCAATGAGCTCTCAGATACGATATGAAATTTCATCCTCATAATGACCACAGGAGATAGTCAATATTATCTTGTTTTATTTGGTTTTTCTCTGTTTCATGCTCCATGGCTGAAGAACATGCTCCACATCCCCATAAGCCTATGAGTAGCAGAATTAGAATTCACCCCAGCTCTTTCTTCTCTACTCTTCTCACTGCACTATGATTCTGAGCAACTCTGTCTTGTTATCTACAAACCTTGCTAAACAGAACTCATTTCACCATTGTGATCACTGGGTCAGAGCAGTAAATAACTCTAGGCCACTATTTGCCCTGGCCCAAAGTGAAATGTTTAATATGAATTTTCTAGATGCTATTTAGAAGTTGTGTGCCCATAAATATGGCTCCCTGGACCATAGCACAGTGAGACACATGGAAAAGAATTACATCCTTTGAAAAGGTAAAACTTGTTTAAACTATTACTTCTTTCCATCCATCAGCTCTATGACCTGTCAAATTCCAGGCCTCCGCCACTCTGGCTGAATGTGTCTCCTTTGCTCTGCACTGCACTGTGTGATATGTTCTTTTATCTAGTTCACTTATTTTATAAAAATGGATGGACTTTTTAAAAAACACAGCAAGTGCATTTGCTTTTTGGTGCCATCTCTTTCTCTCTATTGAAAAAGCAGCAATATTTTTCTTTCTCCTCTCTTGGTCCTGAAATACCAGCATTGCGTTTTTCTTTTGCCCTTTATGCCTTTAGTGAGTTTCACTTTATGTCTTGTTTTTATTTTCTTGCCTTACAAAAAGATGATTTGATGTCTGTCTCTACTCAAAGATGTGTTGGTTCAGGCAGGGGAGGAGGTATGATCGTTTTTGGTGTAGGACTTTTCCTAACCACCTTAATTTTCATCAGCTACCCCATCCCAGCTGTGAGGTGGCATGCCTGTCCTTATGCCTGTTCTGCCATGTCCCTGGAGGGATATATATATAGCAAAGCTCTTAATTTGCATGGTTCTTCTAAATCTTTCTAATATAACCATTTTAATTAGGCTCCATACTATTGAAAAGTTCTTTGTTAGGATTAATATTCCTTATTTTATCCATGCTTTAGTTTTTCTCTTTCCTGGAATGCTGGCTGCTATGCCTAATGTTCATGCTACCTAAGTTTATGTCTACAATTAGAATTTCAAATGATTTTTCATTTATAAGCAGAAAATCAAGGAGATTATCTTCCACTTCCCACAGCATAAACCTACTGCTGGTGTAGGCACTGAATGTGTTAATCATATAGAATTGAACATATGGAATTTCTGAAAGAGATAATGTAGTTTCTGTCATGATTCGTATTTGCTGCTTTGCCACGCTTCAGGAAAATTGTGCTCTATTGCCATGTGTTTAGTAATTATCTAATCAAGCTCTATCAAAAGTGATGCCCTGTTCTTTTTATTTTCACTTAGACAAATTACATTCTCACCTCAGTCTTTCCTCACTTCCTCTCCTAACCTTAATAATCTTTCCTTCGGGGCTCCCTCTTTTCCCAAAGAGAAGCATGAGGTGTTCATCAGAATGCAGAGTCCATTCTTCATATCTCTACTTTAATCCTAGGTTATGTTGGAAACTTTAAAAAAATGAGTTAACCTTCCTGAGCACACTCATTGGGTATAATAATACCCATTCCTGTTTAGTACAGTGACTGGTGCATACACACTTGTTGAATAAGTAGCTGCTATTTTTGGCATCATATATCTGAATAACAATAAACAGTTTCATTTGTTCTCCTGGGAGGCTGAACAAAGATATATATTTCAAGCTCAACCACAGCAACAGACTACAGAGCAGGCTGTAACAACACTGCACTTAGCCCTTTATACTTTAGCTGTTTACATTTAGACACAATACAAAGACCTCACCTAAAACTCTTTCTTCTTCCAACTGATGGAAAAAACTGTCTATTAGAATTTTTTTACTTTTCAGAGTGGGATTTCTCCTTTTTAAATCAGGATGATGAGTTTTGATATAAAGTCTTTGTTTTACAGTAAGAATAGAAATTTCTGAAGCCAGAGTCAATTAATTGTCAGTAATTTAACTATACTAAAGACAGGATGGTGCTGTATGTCATAAACCCACAGAGCCCCTATTCCCAGTGCTTGATAAGATTTTAACATTTACCACTATCATCATTTTCATTTGATTAGTACACCTCTGCTCTAACTTATGATGGAGTCCTTGTGATGGCCGAAACTTTCCGAAATCTTAGAAGGCAGAAAATTGATATCTCGAGGAGAGGAAATGCTGGGGATTGTCTGGCAAATCCTGCTGCTCCATGGGGCCAGGGAATTGACATGGAAAGGACACTCAAACAGGTAACTCACAATTTTACTTAAGCTCAATTTATTTCATGGTCTTGTTTAAGTTGAATGTTCAAGAAACAGACTAATTTATCTGAGCATAAATATATATAACAATTGCTATTTTAATATATCAAGATTTCATCATTTTTGAGACACTTCTAGATAGCATAAGAGTAGAATCTTGCTATTTATGTGTTGTGTAGATGCATAGCCCAGATAAATTAGGTTATGCTACAGTGATAAGCAATCTCAAATCCCAGTGGTTTAAAACAACAAGGGAGGTTTGCTCACTCAGACATACGCTGGATTAGCAGGGCCACTCTGCTCTTTGTAGTCACTCAGGGATCCAGGCTGGCAAAGCAGCTACCATCTTGAATGCTGCCAAGGGAAAGATAGATATTTGAGGGGAGGTTTCAAATTGGCAATTAAATACCGTGGCACTTCTCATGTCTATTTACAACTCAGATGTCATAAAGAGTCACATACCGTGTTTCCCCGAAAATAAGACAGGGTCTTATATTTATTTTTCCTCAAGAAGACACCCTAGGGCTTATTTTCAGGGGATGTGTTATTTTCCCCTCAAAGCCTCAGCTGGCAGCACGCACAGGATGGCCGGGACCTGACAGAGGGAGCCAAGCCCCACCTTGTTGGTGGGGCTGCCCACACATTTCTGGTCACCTCTGGGACAGTAGCTGTCACAATGGGGCAGATGAGAAGGGTTGCTTGTCTTCTTTACCACTCCACGACAAAATGCATGGGTTGTGCAGATATGCTGCGTAGCCACGCCCATCACAAGGTCTTATTTTGGGGGTAGGACTTATATTGCGCAAAAGCTTAGAAATCCTGCTAGGGCTTATTTTATGGGTAGGTCTTATCTTTGGGGAAACACGGTAGGTCTAACTAACCACAAGGGCTTGAGGAAGTACAAGCTTGCCTTGAGTCCAGAATGCAAAAGAACCAGAATATTTAGCAAACGTAAGTATTGACTAACTACCTTTTACGGCCCACAGGCCACATGCAGGTGTTTTGCCTGCTTGATTTTTTACTTCAAAATAAGATATGTGCAGTGTGCATAGGAATTTGTTCATAGTTTTTTTAAAACTATAGTCCAGCCCTCCAACAGTCTGAGGGACAGTGAACTGGCCCCCTGTTTAAAAAGTTTGAGGACCTCTGAGTAGATCGTTAAATTGCCTTGTAACCTTGGATAAAATAATTAGTTCATTATAGTCTTTTATAGTTATACTAACCCTATTTTTTAAATAATTAAGGGTATATATATATATATACATATTTGACATCACATGTTAAATCTTCTGAAATGCCATTGATTCAAAATATAAATAAAAGTGAATTAACAGGAAATTTGAAAAAAGTATATTTGAATATTTTCAAAAATGTATTTATATGTTTTGGCTTCTTATATCTTAATTTTAATATTAGAGAGGTGAAAATAAAATCTGGCATGGGTATCTGGGCTATTTAATTCATTATGTTGATATATAGATAAAACTTAAAAGTAATTGTAAACAAACTATATTTCCATTCCTATAAAATACTTTATAATTAAGGAAGAATCCTGTTAGTTAAAATGGAAATTTTATAATATTAAAAACAAAACATACTCATCTTTTATTTCTATGGCAGACTTGCTTCTACATTCCTCTGATATTCCTCTTTCATATTCTATCCCAATAGTTCAAATACCCAATGGCATTTCAGCCAGCTGGTTGTAGTTCCTCATTCTTGTGTAGTAATAGCCTAGCAGATGAATTTGAGATTTCTATAAGTGAAATGGCAAATGAATACATGTGTGAGTTTTCTTTTGCTTTAAGGTTCGAATCCAAGGGCTGACAGGGAATGTTCAGTTTGACCACTACGGACGTAGAGTCAATTACACAATGGATGTGTTTGAGCTAAAGAGCACAGGACCGAGAAAGGTGAGCCACAGTCAACTGAAGGAAAAAAAAAGAAAATTCTCTGTTTTTGTGTTTGCATTTGACATTTTTAAAGATTTCTAGGAGAAAGATAACTGGATTTTCTATACATCCTTTCTGTTTTCAATGTACTTACAAATACAGTAGTATTTTCTTGATAAATCTATGCAGAGATAAATTCTTGCATCATGTAATTGATATTTTATGATATGCTAAAGCTGAAACAAAGTAATTTATGCACTGTTTATATCCTTTATCCAAAATGGAAGCCATATTTTGGGAGGGGGGGAGGCTCAGCGAAACAAATCCCACAAAACAAAATCTACTCTGCAGGACTGAACACAATGCAATAAAAAGACATAAGCATCTCTATGTAGTCATTTATGAAATCATTAGAAAGACTATAAAGAAAACTACTTCCAAAACATCCAAAAAGTGATTTATACAATGGAACCATACAACTCCACCATAGTAATTGGTTATATAAGTGTTTTATAGCTAATACATAGAATTTTTAACATTCCTTTTCTCTAGGATTAGCTAGGATGCTCAAGGAAAGAGATATTCAAGTTAACCTTATCTAAAAACTCCATTTGTTTCAACACTTGGCTGTTTGGAAAAACTTTCCAAAATGTGCTTCTGTGCTTTAATGTAATAATGATAGCTATAATTTATCAAATGCCTTTTAGGTCCCCAGCCCTGGACTTGATGCTTTGCATAATTTAATCATCACAACAAGCCTATAATCTGAGTATTATCTCCCTTTTCTCAATTGAGAAAATTATGGCCCAGTAAGTTACCTTCTCCAAAGCCTGTAAGTAGGAAAACAAAGATTTTCATTCAGATATGTCTGACACCAGAACATTTCCACATGATGCCCCACCTGAGTAGACCCTGCTCTAGAGGAGTTTTGTGTTCTAATAGGGTAGGAATTAAGAAGTTCCAAATGACAATTCAAGAGAAGGCATCTGAAATTTTTTTTTTATTTCAATCTATTTAGGGAGTACAAATACAGTGTTGTTATTACATGGATATATCTTATAGAAGTGAGGTCTGAGCTTTTAGTGTACCCATCACCCGAATAGTGTACATTATATCCAATAGGTAATCATCATCCACCCACTCTCCCAACTTCGAAGTCTTTGCTGTCTATTATCCCACTCTGTATGAGCATGTGTACCCAGAGTTTAGCTCCCACTTTTATTTTTTATTTATTTATTTATTTATTTTTTTAGACAGAGTCTCACTTTGTTGCCCAGGGTAGAGTGAGTGCCATGGCATCAGCCTAGCTCACAGCAACCTCAAACTCCTGGGCTCAAGCAATCCTCCTGCCTCAGCCTCCCGAGTAGCTGGGACTACAGGCACGCGCCACCATGCCTGGCTAATTTATATATATATATATTTGTTGGCCAATTAATTTCTTTCTATTTTTATAGTAGAGACAGGGTCTCGCTCAGGCTGGTTTTGAACTCCTGACCTTGAGCAATCCGCCCGCCTTGGCCTCCCAGAGTGCTAGGATTACAAGCGTGAGCCACCACGCCCAGCCTAGCTCCCACTTTTAAATGAGAACATGCGGTATTTGATTTTCCATTCCTGAGTTACGTCACTTGGAATAATGGCCTACAGTTCCATCCAAGTTGCTGCCAGAGACATTATTTCATTCATTTTTATGGCTGAATATTATTCCATGTTATAGATATACCACATTTTCTTTGTTCTCTCATTGGTTTGTGGACACTTAAGTTGATTCCATACTTTTGCTATTGTGAATAATGCTGTGATAAACATATGAGTGCAGGTGTCTTTTCTATATAATGACTTCTTTTCCTTTGAGTAGATACCCAGTAGTGGGATTGCTGAATCAAATGGTAGATCTACTTTTAGTTCTTTGAGAAATCTCCACACTGTTTTCCATAGAAGCTGTACTAACTTACATTCCCACCAAGCATGTATAAATGTTCTCTTTTCACTATATCTGCCCCAACACCTATTTTTTTTTTTACTTTTTAATAATGGCCATTCTGACTGGGATAAGGTGTTATATCATTGTGGGTTTAATTTTCATTTCTGATGATTAGTGATGTTGAATATTTATTAATATGTTTGTTGGCCATTTGTATATCTTCTTTTGAAAAATGTCTGTTCATGTTGTCTGCCTACTTATTAATGGGCTTATTTGTATTTTTCTTGTTCAGTTGTTTGAGTTCTTTGTAGAGTCTAGATATTAGTCCCTTGTTGGATGCATAGTTTGCAAATAATTTTCTCATTCTGTAGGTTTTCTGTTTACTTTGTTGATTATTCCTTTTTCTGTACAAGAAGCTTCTTAGTTTAATTAAGTCCCATTTATTTATTTCGGTATTTATTATATTTGCTTTTGGGGTCTTAGTCATAAATTCTTTGTCTAGGCCAATGTCAAGAATATTTTTTCCTACATTTTCTTCTGAATTTTTATATAAACCTTATAACAATAACCAACTGATCTTAAACACACAGACAAAAACATACACTGAGGAAAGGGGATACCCTATTCAATCAATGATGCTGGGAAAATAGGATAGCCATATGCAGAAGAATGAATCTGAATCCCTATCTCTTACCATACATAAAAATTAACTCAAGATGGATTACAGACTTATATGTAAGGCATGTGGAATTTCTAAAGAGGAATAGATCACTTTCTCTTTAGCTGGAAGAAAACAAAATCAAGGAAGGCTGTGTGGAGGAAGTGGGATTTAAAGTTAACCATGAAGTTAGAGTTTGGATAGATTGAAATGGAAAAGGCAACAGTGTGAGGAAAGACTTGGAGGCAGGACAGTTATGGTCATATATGGAAAATAGCAAAGGTTATCTGAGTTGTGTTTTGCTCCAGTCTCTTATCTGAGTATGCTTCTGGATGTATGGGAAGGAGACATCTGGAGGTACCATGAAAACCATCTCCAGCTTTTCAGCCCCTTAGTGGCATCCCTCTTTGTTTGCAGGCTGCCAGCCAATACACAGTAGGCCAGAGCTTACCTGATCCAGATCAGGTATGGCAGGAGATAGAAGACAGCTGGGAAGGCCCAGCTACACTGCATGACAGGCAGGCTCCTCTAAGACAATTGCCCGAAGCAAGGGAAAGAGATACTCCCAAGAAGAACCCACTCTGCCAACGCACAGCTAGCAACAAGAAAGAAAGAGGCCTGTCTTAAACAAAATCCCTCTGCTAACTGTGGAACAGACAGAATATTCCACAGGCCCTAGAAACATCGGCTAACAGGTAGACAGAGGTAAGACAAGCCCACCCTCCTGCCACACACCAGGCCTTGCAAAATTAGCTTTTTAAGCAGAGATTTTTAAAATGCAAAAAAAAAAATAACCCCAATTCCATATTTTACAAAGCAGTAAGTGAAGAAAGTCAAATGGTTCTCCATAAAAGAAAGAAAGCTGGTGGTAACTAACAGTGATATCAAGTGGGCTTTTTATAGTACCGAGTCTTTTCATGGCCTGTTGAACCTTGATGGTAACAAAAATTAAGATTTTTGGAGGAAAAAGTTAAAGAGTAAGTTGAGAGAGTGATGAACAGTACATCTTCACACCCAGCTGACATTCATCTAAGGCCCTTAAAAGACATATGGAGTGTAAAATGGTGTAGACTCGTCTATCTTCATTTTTCCGTGGCAACGATCAACTTGGGCATTGTGTCAGGAATATTAAACTTAAAAATGAACCACCACGAGAAACACTATGCTGGTGAGACTAGGCAGTATGTCTGAGAAGTGAGCAATCGTTCTTGTAAATTGAACACTTACCAGCAAGGGAGCTATCTTTGAAAATAGATCAGAGAGTCAACCCATCAGTTTGTCTGATTTCTGTAACAGGAAAACTGATTGAGAGTCTCATTAAGCAGAAGCCACAAAGTTCTTTGTGAAGTCCTGGCTCCTAAGTACAGTGGAATTCTTCTTATCATTCCAGTGACCCCCTAGGGTTACAGAGGGAATGCTCCTGGACCAGACTTGCATTTGCATAGTTTCAGGAATTTTTAATTGTAAACATTTCATTTATTGAAAGCAGGCTATATGTCGGACACTGTAGTATAAAATTGATGTGCATTTTTATATTTAACCATCATGACAACCTGAAAATGAGATAAATATATATGTATGTGTGTGTGTGTGTGTGTGTGTGTGTGTGTGTGTGTGTGTATTTCATTTTATAGAAGAGAAAAGTAAGGTTCAAATAAACTGAGTAACCTGCCCAGGGATGCTCAGCTAGAAAGAGGTAGAGCCACAGTGAAAATCAAAATTCCGCAGCTCCACAGCTCGCTCTCTTGACTGATGTGAAACATCATCAGTCTCAGTGCCTGTAAGAGTTCTATTTAGGGATGGCGTGAGAATTAGATCCGATTTCTCAGGACAGGTCTGGTCAAAGCCGCTATCTAAGGAACTAGCTTTGAGTAGAACAGGGTCTCCTCACAGCCCCTCTTACCCAGCCCCTATGTTCTAGGAAGGCCAAGACCCCTGTAAATACAGAGACATTTGCTCGCACATTTTATTATAGTTATATTTGCATACAAATCAGCTTTAGAGGTCCAAAGAAGATGAATGTTTTTCTGACATCTCTTGTCCATTTCGTAATTTAAATGCTTCTGTATTTTTGCTCTAGCATTACAAAGCCACTTTTCACCCACTGTCTGTCTCTGTATATTTCCCTGTCTGATTAAATGAGGTCAGGGATAGGAAAAGTTCTCAGTGACCTGTAAAATGTTGTGAAGAACTGGAGAGAGAAACTCCATCTCATGTGATGTCATAGGTCCAAACTTTACGATTACTTTCTTTAGGAATTCACCCCTGTGAGGTATTACTTCTCACTAAGTCCATGTTCCACATGAAATTTACCATCAATTAGTCCCTATCACAAAGCATGGCTTTCTTTTTTCACCAGAATTATATGTAGGTATAAAGCAAGAAAATAAAATTTTGCTTATTAATTTGCCAGCACTTCTGAGTCATTTATCTTCTAGAGAGGATAGTTGTAAACTCACAGATTAGCTCTTAAATGCAAAATGTCAAGGTCTTGCCAATATCTGAGGACTCTCCAAAATGTATCCCAGATTCTTTTCTGTTGTGGGATTCATTAGTAAAGAAAAACTGTCTTTCCTGAAATAGGGCCGCTGAAATCTGCAGGGTGGCTGCATCTTAATGGAGTGCTAAACCGTAAAACTCATTTTCATGTCATATAACTGTCCTGTGGAAAGGAGAATTAACAGGAAGCAATCGACATGTTTTAAGTACACATAGGAATTGAGTATACTAAACAAGTATACTAAAAAGTATACTTGTTCTTAAATATTTCACAGAATTATTAAATAAATGCCAGCTAGAAATGGATTCACATGGACAACTGAAAATAATTGCTGAACTTATGTATACCATAATTTTAGATCAAACCAAAAGTATAGCAAGCCATGTTCATGAAAACTCTTTTTCCCCATCTGTTCTGTTATTGAATTATATGTGCAACACTTGCAAATAATATAGTGGCTCTTTCTAATATGTTAACACTTACTTTATTTTGATATGCTCATAAATACTAACATGGTAGTTAAGAAACTTGGAGGAGGCAAGTTCCAGTATGTCCAAAACATATTAGAACAAACAGTGAATACAGACCAGTGAGCAAATACATACATTTTATTGAAAACACGAGTTTTGTCAACCACATCAAGAAATTCAAGAAAGAAATTGGCAATCATTAAATGAATACACATTTTGGGAAGCTGTGAAGCTTAATAGCAAGCGTGTGGACTTAGTGCCATGCAGACCTTAGTTTTGATTTCTGGCCCACTAAAGTGTAACCATGTGTAATTTATTTAACCTTCGAAAATGGGTCCTCATCTCTAAAATGTGGATAATAATTGCACCTACTCTACATTTACTATGTGTATTAACGTTAAGATGTATATTTTTTAAAGTTCTGAATACATTGTCTGTCCCCAAGAAAGCACTCAATATGTGGTAACCATTATTATTACTTAACAGCCTGCATGAAATTTTCATTAAAATTCCACTGTAGTTGACTACTTTTTAAAGTGCTTAACTACTTAATTTATTTTATGAGAAAGTGTTTGTTTTACTTCTGAATGAGAAAAATAATATCATAATCTTAAAATGCAAAAAAATACAAATTTAAATGTAATCTTTGCAAGTGAAAACATTGTTCTTTAATATTCATCTCTAATATAGTTAGCATTTCAGAAATGGTAAGATTCTTATATTGTGGTTAGGTTATATCAAACCCAAACCTACTTCTATACTGATTCAAAAATACACAAGTTTCCTTTGCTTGAAAATATCCTATACATTTTTTTAAAATAAATCTGGATATTGCCTTTACCATGTGGCCTGTGACTTCATTGATAGAGTCATGCAAATTAATTTTAAGGCATCCAAGTCCATCTCACTAGAAAAGAGGATCAACATAAAATGATGCTCCATCTGTGTCTATACTCCTTTTGGAACCACCCATTCCCACTGTCTTGGCTACTCTATGATTGTAAATTATAAATTTGCCAGATATGTAACAAGGCAGAAAAACTGGTTCATCATGAATTAAGGAAATTTGCACACACTTTTTTTAGTTGCTTTTTAAATTTGTTTTGTTTGCTGGTTTATACGCCTCATTGTTTTAAGATTAAACTTTTCTAAAATATGTTTTTAAGCATTTTCTCTATTTTGTAGGTTGGTTACTGGAATGATATGGATAAATTAGTCTTGATTCAAGATGTACCCACTCTTGGCAATGACACAGCAGCTATTGAGAACAGAACAGTGGTTGTAACCACAATTATGGTAAGTCTTGGTCTATGCTTTATGGTGTTTCATTTTGTCCATAGGCAATTGTAACCCCCCAGCTATGGTGAACAGGGAGGGTGAAAGCTGAATCTTAGTAGTGATGACACTGGTGTTCTTGATCCACAAAAGTCTATTAAGTCTTTGAATAGGTTTGTCCTGAGCTTTGAGTACATTCAGTACTTTTATTTGTATTATCTTTTGTTGCATTGTTGTTCTTGGAAAAATGCTCAGATGTTAAAAATTGAGACTGTCAAACTCTAGTTGGAAATGTATGAAATACTAAGACCCCAAAACACAAAACAACAAACATGACAAAGTTCCACAACCAATCACATAAAAATATCCAGTAGTAAACATCACATTTTTATTGTTATTATGTTTTTTAAAGCATCGATGTAATAATAGTTAATAGTGTTTAAAATTATAATTTTCAGGTAGCTTAATCATTGGATTATGGTTTGCATTGTCTGTTTATAATAGTGGAGATGTGAATGTGAAGATTTTAATAAGCATGCTTATATAACTAAATGCTTTCAAAATTAATTTAGTTTTACTTTATTTTTAATGTGGAAAGGGTTTTTTTGCACCGATTATTTTTCTCATTGACCAGTGAGAAATACATAATATAATTTATTGAACTTCTAGGAATTACAAAATCTATGATTGCTTCATTGGGTTGCATCATAAAATGAAAAATACTCTAAATTCTAAGGCTGCTTTCTCAAAGAGAATCTTGTGAAATTACCTTTTAAATAATAGAATATCATATATATTTTTCCCTTCTCAAGTCAAACATGCCCTTTAGAGTCAATGCTAGTCAAAGGAGATCAACAATCGGTGACCTTTTCTATCTAATGTAAAATTATATATCCTCAGCTCACTGTCTCTGTAGGCAAAGCATATTTTAAATTATTTATGGAAGCCCTTACTCTAAATAAAATGAAAGTATTTTATGTAATTTAGTTTTCAGTTTTCATAATTTTAGTTTTAGGTTTTTAGTAATGTCAAGTTGTTTCCAAAAGTGACATTGAGGTCAAAGCATGAAAATGCCAGCGAGAAGCTTTCAAATGTTGCAATTAGTTTTATCTGTGTTGCATCACCAGTTAGTAATTTAATGTATCTGACAAGCCTTGATCATAAGTACATGATTTCAGAATGCAAACCAACCAACAGCAGTTTGTGTGTAAACCTTCTAACTTAATTGTGTAATATTTGCATGGGACTTGAAAAGCAATATATATATATTTCTTTTCCTAAAAAAAAAAAAAGACACAGTAATGGAAAGTCATACTTCAGTACAGTCCTCCTCTTTTCAGCCTCTGATGAAGAATCCTATTTTAAGAAATTGATCAAGAAAGAAAAGAGTTCCACGCTGTTCGACCATTCCTAACTAAGGCTCAAGTCTTGTTCTCCAGTGTAGTAAATTTAAGCTTATTTTTCATGTGGGATTCTTCTTGGATGACCAACTCTGGACTACCAGAAAAAATACATTTTTTAAAGTTCTGTGACTTTTCTGAGATACTAGAACAAAAGAAGAATTAATCCTCATCTTTCTCAAGAAAATAAATAGATGTTGAAAAAGAATCACTTAGAGATTCTGACATATCAATTCCCACCTACATCTTGAAATGAGGTCACTGTATGTAAACGATGGAATTATATCACTCCTATTTCCAAGGGTAGATTTTTCTATCCGTAAATATCTCTGAATTTATGTGCATGTTTTCTGAACATATACAGTTGTTTTCTTTAAAGATTTTTTTTGAAATTTGCCTGTTCTATGTGAAATAAAGTGTTTTAATGTGCATTATAGGTGTAATGTAGAGAATTTCCTCTCCATCCCTGTTATTAAAGGGGCTGGACATGTAATTCTTAAAACCAAAATACTGAATTAATTTTGCAAGCATGGCTAGTTTTCAGGAAGCATGCTATCAAAAAATAAGTAAAAATGACTGAAAACATCTGTTTCCTGTACATATAAAGAATATTCTGTAAAGTTACCTGTTTGACAGTGATGCCATCAATATTTTTTGCTATCAAAATGGTACGATACTAGTATCTGTCTTTTGTATGAAAATGTAATCTTTATATAAATAATACCTCTGGTATTTGCAACTGCATAATCATTCAGTAATTCAAAAAGACATACTAGAATCCTCTCCCTGAGAGTGTTCTTTGTATGTGTGCTTGTTGAAAATGGTAGCCCAGAAGTTATTAACATCCCCACCACCTCATTCCTTTTGAAAGAAATAACAATTCCTTGTAGATGAATGAGATACTGGCATCTCCATGGTATTCAGTTGAACACTGTCGAAACAGATGGAGTTGGCTAGACACTGTAATATGTACCATACGGATACCTAGATACAGAAGAAGGCTGAGAGTGAGCACTGGAAATCATTCATTTTGATTGAAATTGATATGGTGTTGCTGTTCTTCCATTTGTCTTTCCTTCATGTATGTTGTTATTTATATGTTGATACACTGTAATGGTATATGCTATTGTTAAATAAAATCGATTGATAAATTCAGCTATTTATAAATATTTATTGAGCGTCTGCTATTTGCTAGGCACAGTAAGAGGCCCTGGGGGTATGTCAGAGAACAAAACAGATAAAAACCCTGCACTTAATGGAATTTATAGTCTAGTGAGAGAACGTAGACAAGAAACATAATTACTAATTATATTAGCCATCTTTTATAAATAAAATGTGGCATTAGCTTTTTATACATTTTTTTTTTTTTTTTGAGACAGAGTCTCACTTTGTTGCCCAGGCTAGAGTGAGTGCCGTGGCGTCAGCCTAGCTCACAGCAACCTCAAACTCCTGGGCTCAAGCAATCCTCCTGCCTCAGCCTCCTGAGTAGCTGGGACTACAGGCATGTGCCACCATGCCCGGCTAATTTTTTCTATATATATTAGTTGGCCAATTAATTTCTTTCTATTTATAGTAGAGACAGGGTCTCGCTCTTGCTCAGGCTGGTTTCAAACTCCTGACCTCGAGCAATCCACCCGACTCGGCCTCCCAGAATGTTAAGATTACAGGCATGAGCCACTGTGCCCAGCTTTTTATACTTTTGAAAGTTATTTTTTTATAACAGCATTATGTATCTATAATGTGATCTTAATTTTCATAATGAATTTATTCTACCTGCATACAGAATTTAACATAGCTAAAACTAAACAGAAAATAAAATTGACAATATCATCACTTTTTATCTTTGTCTTATTGACTAAAAATTTATAAAATTTGTAATATTCACGATTGTGACTATACTGATTTAATTTTTTTGTATTCAAAGTTATAATTTTTGCAACTTAAGGAAGCCAAATCTATGCCACGTAGTTTGGATAAGTTCAGCAATTGAAGAAAAGGAATTTTACAATAAAACTTGGGGGAAGAGAGGGTGGTATTTTCCTTTGTAATCTTGTTACTGTCTTTGGCTATTGAACTATCTGGAAAAGGAGAGCTAATGCAGTGATAATTCAGATAAGCCCTTTTTTTCCCAAAGCTTCACTATTGAAGGGCAATCATGCTTATGATACATTACTCAACTATGAAGAAATTTCTTGCCATTTTATAAATATAACAATCCTTTAGGAAAATTTTCCATAAAACCAAATTTATTCACTGCAGCATCAGACTTATGTTACAAACTTAAAAGCAATTTTACTTATCACACGTGATCTTTTCAGAGGTCACTTTTTGTACTTTATATGAGATGTTTGACATTTTACCTTCTCTATGTGCAATTTTGTAGGTACACTATAAGTATATATATATGCATATATAATGTACATGCACATACTTATGTATAATATATGTATGTACATATATACAGAAGATAAAAATGTATTTCTTTTCTTCCTTGTACCAAATATTAATTTCCCCCTCCCACATATATCTCCTATTGGATGGCTTATAATTCAATTAGTTTTCAAATAAATTATTTTGGCTAAACTTAAATTTTTGCAGTCATTAAATTTACTTATTTTTTCTGAATTGAATAATAACATCTTAATTTCCACTTTTAAGAAATTTATCCATGGGATAAATTATTCACATCCATTATGGTTCTTTAAAGAAAAGCAAGTATCCACACAATATTTGTTAATGCTGATTTTATTATTTTAACAGTTTTCAATAGCAATTGTAATGATTATAGTTGTGGTGTTTAGAAAATCTTGAAGCCTTTCTAATATATGTCATTCTCATAGTTTCACTTTTGCTAAATACAAATAGTCCTTGGTAGGAACATTATAATTTATTGACTGAAAATCATTGAGACAGTTTCATAAGCAAGTCCTAATGTAGCAGCTTTAGACAAAGAAGGATTACTTTCCTGACATAGTAGAGCAAATGTAGAGCACCATTCATTATGGAAATTGTCTTAATAAACTCATAATCATAAGAAGTAATGCATTTAAAATAACTTCTAAGAAATTATTGTCCCAGAGAGCACAGTAGTTAATAATAAACATGGCAAGTTATACTTTTAAGCCAAAGCTCTTAACACTTGGGACTTCATAGGCCTGCTTTGCAAAGATGCCCCCCAAATTCTCCATAATGACTAGCTAGAATTCTATTTTTATTATATTGAAAAGATTTGATATTTTCTTCACCCATTGTGGCCCCCAAATTTTGTATTAACTCTCCCCAGTATGCTGTATTGGAAGAGTTACCTGCAGACAATTTGTCAGATTGAGGATGTGGGAAATGAGGAAGTTGGAAGAATGTTCAGAATCTGTTACTCATATTGGGTTTGACATGAAAAGAAAGCAAAATGAGACACACTGAAAGAAACTGGAGAGAGGTGAACAACCATGAGAGCCTCTGTTCAAGACAAGCCTAGCTTTTCTCTTCCTTTGATCTTCTCACCTGGGTGTGGTCATGCCATTTGTCAGATGCTGCAGGCATCACTCCTCCTGAACCTCAGGAATTGTTTGTGCCCCTGGATATGCAAAAGTATAGCTAAGTTTCTAATCAACATGTCCAGTAAGGGGAAGGTTTTTCTAGCCTTTGGTCATTTGTTTGTCAGGAAAATAAAGACTTGATGGGCCCCTGGTGTCCAAAAGGAAAAGTGAAAAAAATTAAAAACAGTATTAAATAAATGTTACTCATATAGACATATGCTTGCTTCAGAAGAGATAACCTAACACTTGTTAATATTTACTTTTTTGTTATTTAGTGCCTTCTATATGCCGGATGCTATGAGGAGAAATAGAAAGGTCTTATCTACAATGTTTACTCGAAAGATCATATAAAGAATTTCATTCACTAAAAATACAGAAATGCATTTCTTTAATCTTGTTCCCCTTCTTGTTAAATTTTGTGAAATTTTAATTAGTTGCACATATTTTGATGAACGCAATAATAGCTTCAAAAATTTACAAATATTTTAAAATGTGGGCTCAACTCCCACCTTTGTCACTTGTTAGCTCTATGAAATTGAACAATTGGCTTAACCTCCCCGAGTCTTCATTTTCCCACCTGTAAAATGGGAAATGCCTACCACAAGGAGTCAGTGTCAAAAGTAAATGAAATGACACAAAGAACTGAGCATTGTTGTACTTGATACAGAGGAAACACTAAATAAGTAAGAGATGTCATTATTATTATTCACTACTATATTTTATTGTTGTTCTCCACATCTTATACTCCTTTACACTTATTACAAAGAATTTACAATGACTTTGATCACAAGAGGACAAAGCATGTATTTTATTTATTTTTGTATACCTAGCTCCCAGTAAACTGGCTGGCATACAGTAGGTGCTTAATAAATATTTGATTAAAAAATAAGCATGCAGCTCTTATTGAAGCAAATTTTTCACTATATAATGTAGAGGTAATTTAGCTAATTAAATTATAAAACTAACTATAGAAACTTCCACAAACAAGCTGAAACAGTACTATATCTACTTGAGGACTAAAATTCATAAATGTCCAAATATTCCATACACTTTAGAACTGACCTTTGGCCTTAGTACCAAATGGGAGCCTTAGCTCTACCCTTTTTGAAAAACTCTTAAGCTTGCTGTTCTCCTAGATGATAGCTGTATGACTTTTTCAATTAGAATATTATGCATTTTACATATATATGGCTCTTGCTTTTTTCTACATAATCTTCCATATTTTAATAAGGCTATTGTAAAAAAAAGAGAAAAAAAGAACTAGCTAATAACTAGTCATATTTTATAGTATGTTTTAGAAACTAATAATACTTTTCAACAACTCACCAGTTTTCATAACCACATTTATAAATTGCTAAACCCCTTATATTTGCACAGTGTTTTCTGAAAACTAATAAATAATTTTCATTTATATAAAACAGAGACATCTTCCTTAATTTTATGAGTGGAGAAACTTTCTTTAACCAATTCCAGGCTTAGAATATTCATCAAATTCAAAAAAGTGGGAGACTTCTGGGTCACTTGGCAATACCAATAGAAGGCGGGATTTAAGAAAATAGTACAAGGATCAAAAACCTGGACAATTGTCCACAGCGACATTATTTAGGGTTTCTCTAAGAGAAAATAAAATATAATTTAATTTACACTTTTAAAAAAAATGTAAAGGAGTTTTTACTTTTACAAAGTACTTAAAATCAGAATTATTGTAGACTTCTGCGATATTTCTGCAAAGTAATTTACCTTCTAATCCAGAATTCCAAGTGCAAGTCCATCTTCCCCAATTATAAATTTGCTGGGGAAAGAAAAGATCGTTATAAAAGATTACTAATAAGTGTTACAGTACAATTTTATAAAACAAATAAATGATCTCAATAATGTTGTGGCCAAAGGTGATCTCTCCTTGTTTACAAATGACTGGAAAAACTGAGATGTAGGTAGGAATTCTCTTCATATTACACATTCAGTAGCCCTATCTTTTGGTTAGTGGCTTTAGGTGCCATTTTTTAAATCAGGTGATTTTTAGCTAATATGTATCTTTAATTCATGCCTTTAAATGGTTTTGTTTAGAGGTGTGTGTATGTGTGTGTGTGTGTCTGTCCAGCAATTATTAGCCACCAATATTTAAAGCCAAAATATTGGGCAACATTAGGAAAGTGATGCAAATAATTCTTTATTCTGTTTTCTATCTCACTTGCTTGGAAAACCAAATAGGATATCATTTGATGTGTGTGCTCATCATAACTGGAAGAAAATTATTAGCTTCCACTAGGGACATATTTTATGGTACAATTAAAATTCATGGAGCATAAACCATATTTAAAGCCAAAATATCGGGTAACATTAGGAAAGCAATGGAAATAACTATCTGTAGAAGAATTTCTAAACTATTCATTTATTTTTTCTTTGAGCATCTGTGCAGCAAGTGCCTGCTCTGAGAAAAGCATTTTGCTAAACATTAGAGATCAATGAAAAATGATATAGCCCTTTTCCTAAGGATGTCACAGTTTAATATGGCTAAATATGATGCAGAATATAGAGACTTGTGGCCTTGAATGAGTCTTTTATTATGTTAAGCTGACTACTAGTTTTTAGTTCCATGAGGTATTTTAGAAATACTAATTCCATTGCCAAAGAAGATATTTATGCTTCTCTAGACAATTAATAGTTTCCCTATCCCCATGACAGTACTAGGTATGTAATCTTCTCTCAATAGAAAATTAAAGATTTTACTTTTAATGTCCAATGTAAAGCCATGTAATATCTTCTGAGCATATTTATTCATCTGTTTTATTATTGATTTCTAGCTACACAAAATCAGTATGTGCACCAATACTAAATATACTCCTTTTGTCAAATTCTGAAACTGGAAAGTTACATAAGGTTTTTCGAATGTTTTATAATTTCTCCTTTACAGTTCTACTTCTCTCATTATAGGAATCCCCATATGTTATGTACAAGAAAAATCACGAAATGTTTGAAGGAAATGACAAGTATGAAGGATACTGTGTAGATTTGGCATCTGAAATTGCAAAACACATTGGTATCAAGTATAAAATTGCCATTGTCCCTGATGGAAAATATGGAGCAAGGGATGCAGACACAAAAATCTGGAATGGGATGGTAGGAGAACTTGTTTATGGGGTAAGCAAATCAATTTATTGAAGACTTTACTTACATAAACCTGAAACTTCTTTTCACTTGGGCACATATCACTTTGAAACATCTATTACTATTTTCTCAAATTTGCAGCCATGTTCAAAGGTGTTTCGATGGTTCTCTCTTTAATTAACATTGAAATTCACAAACGAGAGAAATTGATTCTTGATAACTTCAAAATCAGAAAAGAGTTAAAAATTCAAAATATGCTGTCCTATGTGAAAAACAAAACAAAAACATTAACTTCAGGATCTGTGGTGACTATTCTTTTAAGCTTGATGCTGTTACATTGTGGAATGGAAAAAACATCTATTAGTAATCTGTATTTGATAACTGGTCATTATTTTAACAGTTATTTATATCCCTGTTGTTTGTAATGACTCATAAATATATTTTATTTACTTGGTGAAACAGTCACAATAGTACTTTAGCTTCTATAAAATATTCATCAGTAATGTGAAAGTCTTACAATTCTGCTGAACATAGTAAAATCAAACTGGCAGTTATCACATGCTACTGATGGTATAATATTTCAAAAGCCCAGAAACCAAACCTATAGCTCTCAGCAAGCTCTATTCATTGAGTAACCAATAAAAGAAATACACACTTGAAATGTATTCTGAAATTGACTAAAAGTCAATTTATATTTCACGTATTTCACCTTCAAACGTACTCTGTCTGATTAATCCCCACAAGACCCCTTTGAAATGAAGAATTACACTGAAAGCCATCACTTCCCCAGAAAAGAGTAAAGACAGAAAGATTTAGAACATAACTGAAGTCACATAGGGACTCACTTTCTGAGCCAGAACTGCAATTCAATGGTTTCATGATTCTGCATCTTGCTTTTTAGACCATGAAACAATGAACATTCTCTGCACAGTACAGTATGGTAGCTAAAACCTCAGCAGAAAGAGAAAATTGTTTGACATTATAAAGCAATTGGTTAGTTTTATATCGATGGGAAAGAATTGCGGACTGATTAGATGACCCTGAATGAGTAAAAGAAAATGCAGTTTTAAAAAAAGCAAAATATATTTCACTACACGGTTCATCGACAGTTTCATATTGAGCTTTAAATCTAAAAGAAAAAGGGTTTCTAACGCTTTTGTTCTTTCGTTAATATTTTAAACTTTTGATACAATAAGCAAATCTTAGACACGAACATTATCCAAGTTGTTAGAACCACAGTAATTCATTTCCTTCAGAAAATACTCAGTATTTCATCTCAAAAAAAAAATCATTCCTGGATTACCAATTATTTACGGATGGCATGACTCACCTGAGTTACTTTCTGGAGCATTTGTTACACATCTCTCCTCTAAGGTCCTTATTCCCGGGGGCAGCCCAGGCGCACCCTTTTGCAAGTGTTCTGACCACATTTTATTCAAGGGAAATTATTTAAACAATGGAAATAAATGGCATGAAGAGAATAGCATAATTAACAAAAAAATTATATCGATAATACACCTGTCACAGTAACAAAGAGTCCAAAGTCATGCAGTTCTCAGAGAGAGAAAAGATAACATAGCGATTATTAATATCATCACATTCCTTAGTCAGCCAATCTGTGAGTGTTTAAAGACCCCAATCTCCAACATTTGAATTGTCCACTTTTCTGAAAAAGAGTCTTCCTCCCTGGCTCATACATTCCAGGGATTTGGTGCCTTCCATTTGGGCATCCACAAAGTCTATTCTTGCTTCTCAACTTTCTTTTTCTTTCTTACTGCTAACACATGCATGAATGCCCACTTTCCAGAGCCCTGGATAAAACTTGACCCGTTCTCTTCTAGTAGACAAATCCTATTAGACAGCAAAATGATTAACTTTTAATCCATTTTTTTTCTTTACTCTCCAGACTTTATTACTATAATTGTTATGAATAGATTGTCTTTGAAACATTCCATCCAACACACCACCACATGGGAACTCAGAAGTTCAGAATCTCTCTTACCGCTCAGGTCCCTTTGGCTACTGCACTACAGCAAGTTCACTTTGATTTCCTGTGGTTTGCTTCTCCCGGGCCCTCTTCTGGGGCCTACCATACTTGTTGTATGCTTTTTTTCTAATCCAAGGGAATAGTTCTCAAAGCACATTCCATTGCGCCCTAGCACCAGAATTACCTGCGGTATATGTGAAAATGCTGAATCATTAGCCTCACTCCAGCAGAGCTCAAAATTCAAATCTCATCAAGCTCCTGCAGGAGATATTTGACACACTTAATTTCGGGAATCACTGAGAGGTAATGAAACAAGGCACATCACCTTCCCCAATGTTAGCAGAGAAAGGTCACATGTATCCTGTCTTTTTGCTGATCTCTTTTGAAACTCTCACAGATCTCAGACCTTTCAAAAGTGTCCGTCATTGAACACGGCTGTCACCACCTTCATCCAGTGTTTGCCTTCTGTTGCCTTTGGTTTTCTGTACAGAGAACACCTTCATGTGTTTTTAAGACTTCTTCCCTCCTTATTGGTAACTTGCATGAATAAAAAATTTCAGAAGATACTACATAGAAAAATGTAGTATGTGAAAGGTGGCATTTCAAGTCAGTGAAAAGATGCATTATTCACTTATTCCTGTTGAGACAGCAGAACAATTACTTGGAAGAATTAACAATTTTGTGATGATTCATCATGGAATATACCAAAAAATTATAGCAGGATTACAGATACTAGAATAAAACATATAATATTGATACGAGACTGATTTTTCTAAAGCATGAAATTAAAGGCTAAAAACACAAAAAGATAATTTTATATGGTTACAACAAAATTTAAAACATACATGTTGCAATAAAACATCCTGAACTAAGTTATGGAAACAAAATAATTGATGAATAAGGGAAAATATTTGCAATATATATGTAAAATAAATGTTAATAATCTTAACATATTTAAGAATGGTCACAAATTAGGAAGTAAAAAATGAATACCCAATGTGGAAAACCGGAGGCAGATTATAATAGGTAATATGTAAAAGAAGTAAAAGTAGCTATTTCTTTTATAGAAACAATTCAAATTAATACAATGAGATCTAATTTTCCATACATAAAGTTAGTGAAGACAAATAAGAATAAAGATAAACAAGGCATTTATGGGTTTCAACGCTGAACATGCTTTTCCATAGTGCTGCTGACAGTAGAAATTTGCATCGTCTTTCTGAAGAAAAGTTGGGCAAAACATCATGGATTTTAAAAAGGTCATTACCATTTAGACCAGCAATTCCATTTCTAGAAATTTATCTTAAGTAATTAAGATATTGGCCAAATGTGGTGGCTCATGCCTATAATCCTAGCACTCTGGGAGGCCAAGGCAGATGGATCGTTTGAGCTCAGGAGTTTGAGAACAGCCTGAACAAGAGCGAGATCCCATCTCTACTAAAAAATAAAAAGAAATTAGCCAAACTACTAAAAAAAAAAAATACATATATATATATACACACATAAAATTAGCTGTTGGCGCATGCCTGTAGTCCCAGCTACCTTGGAGGCTGAGGCAGAAGGATGGCTTGAGCCCAGGAGTTTGAGGTTGCTATGAGCTAGGCTGATGCCATGGCACTCTAGCCTGGGCAACAGAGCGAGATTCTGTCTCAAAAAATAATAATAATAATAATAATTAATATATTTGCAAGGACTTATATTCAGTGGTGTTCATGGCATCACTGTTATAAATTTTGTAAAACTGCAAACAATATAAATATCCTTCAAAGTAAGAAATTGAGTAAATTTTGCCATTTTTACATGATAAAATATTTGCAACCATTAAAATGTTTTTAATTTGTATGTTGAAATAGAAGAGTGATACTCATTATATTCTTTTGAGAAGAGAAAAGTAATTATAAAATATAATGTTCTGTATTACCCCGTTAAGAAAAATAAAATTATTATTCATAGAACAAAGTCTAATATAGCACATAGAAAGAAAAAACAAGAATAGGTGATGGGCATAGAGTTAACTTTTCCTAATGTGCTATGTCTGCTTTTATATGCTAAGTTTTCTATAGCTAGTTTATATATCACTTGTATAATAAAAGTTATCCAAAAATAATAACTATGGGGAAAAAGCCTCCCAGCAATGGTTCTGGCTCTTGTAATTATGGGTATTTATGATATACACAAAATTTTTATTCCTACTGGAAGGCATATCCAGTGAATTCTCAGTCACCCAGCCAAGAGCAAGACTGCAGAGTGCCATGCCCATCCTAAGCTCCCAGTGCTCTTGTATCAAGCCACTGGCTGCTGTATCAAACCAGGAGCCCAAGGAAATATAGAAGTGAATGTTGGTGGCCACCTGTATGTGAGAACATGTATGTCTGAGTATGTTTCTGATTCCATTTTGATGTCAAATATTTTCCTTTCAAAATACATGATCAAAACTCCATTTTTATTTGCAGATTTTTAGACAGTTTGCTTTTTATACCATACATTATTGCATTTGATTTTAGAGATAGCGTGATTTAACAGCAGCAGCCCAGGCTCAAATTCCAAAGCTCCCATGACATGTGAAACTCCCCTCTCTGAATCTCGGCTTCATCATCTATTAGACAATGATAGACATAAGATTGATGTGAGGGTTAAATGAGAGGCCATTTAAAAATTTTAGAGCACCATGAGATACAGAGTCCCTCAATAAATGCTCAGTATCCCCTTATTAAGATTTTTAACAAATAATCACAATAACACGATGAGGTAAATAGGGGGAAAAAAGTGTCCCCATTTTGGAGATATAGAAATGGCTCAGAAAAATTGCTCAAAATCATAAAACACTGAAAATGGAGGCTGGTGTCCTATGATCCTAATATCTGAGAATTACATCTACTGTTTTCCAAAATTTTTTGAAATGAAAGTAGAAAACTAAAATATGTGAATAGCAAGAAACAAATGGCAATTTCCAGATTTTTGTGTGTGCGCTGAGTTGGAAAATGTTGTCAAACAACGGGTTTTCTTGTTACCATACAAACACAGAATTTGTGATTGTTTTTCTCATAGCTGGAAAGAAATAAAAAGAGAAAAGATGGTTTGAAATTTGCAATTCATAATATTAAGGGATGGCCAAGTAATGACTCAGTGGCAACCTTCCAAATAAAACAGAAAAGGCTGCAACGTAGCGAAACTCCTGGCCAAGAAATTCAGAAATTCAGCCATATGGAAAGACTATTAAGTCTCTTCCTCTGCACTGTCCCAGATCCTTAAAGACTAATACAGTAATTTGAGTTCCAGTTATCCTTGCTTATCCAATCTTTTTCTGTTTCTCATCCTTTTATCTAATTGCTAGCATCAATAAAAATATTTTGTGCAGTTTAAATAATATGAAAACAAATTACTATTCATCTTTGTGTCTATTACTAGACGTATTCATTGTTGACACTCCAAAAAAACTCTAGAATAAATGCATGACTGGTTAGCTTTAAATGAATCACTCCAGTGCTAATTGCTTCATGAAATTCATTAATCTATGTGTTTCCATGTGTCTTTTCTCTTATAGAAAGCAGAGATTGCTATTGCCCCTCTGACAATCACTTTGGTACGAGAGGAGGTCATTGACTTCTCTAAGCCCTTCATGAGTTTGGGCATATCTATCATGATCAAAAAGCCTCAGAAATCTAAACCAGGAGTGTTTTCCTTCTTGGATCCTCTGGCCTATGAGATTTGGATGTGCATAGTCTTTGCCTACATTGGTGTCAGCGTGGTCTTATTCCTAGTTAGTAGGTTTAGTCCGTACGAGTGGCACACAGAAGAGCCGGAGGATGGAAAGGAAGGACCCAGCGACCAGCCTCCCAATGAGTTTGGCATCTTTAACAGCCTCTGGTTTTCCCTGGGTGCTTTTATGCAGCAAGGATGTGACATTTCACCCAGGTTAGTTTCAAACCTCTTAAGTTCTTCACCGATTTCCCAAATTTCAGTAATTCTAAATGTTGTGCAGAGTATTTCTCTACATGTTATGTTCCTGGAGACAGGGCAGAAGAAAACTTGCAATTCCCAAATTAACGTAAGTATATTCATAGCCAGTTTCTTCCAAGTTAGCACAAAATGCAGGTACATCATAAAGATTAACTTTCTCAATAGAAAAGAAACTGTGCAACCCATCAGAACTCTCAAAAATCATTTTGTTGCTCCATGAGAGAGAAAAGAGCATTTTTATCAAACTCTGAGTCATTTTTATCAAACTTTGGGAGTGAAATAATATTTGCTGTGCTTAAAGTGCTGGACAGCTGAGTTCCATGCGTGCCTCCAAGTCCTGTGGAATCTCTAGATTTCAATGATTGGCATCTGCTCCCATTTCCCCTCCCCTCAGCCCCTGGCAACCACTAAATAGTGTATATTTGACTATTGTAGATGCCTTGTATAAATGGAGTCATGCAATATTTGTCACTCTGTGACTAGCTTCTTTCACTTAGCATACTGTCTTCTGGGTTCATCCATGTTGTTGCATATTATGGAATTTCCTTCATTTTTAAGACTGAATTGTATTCATTATATGCATATATCTCATTTTCTTTGCTCATCGATGGTTATAATGTTCCAGTTAAGCAAATTGAGTAACTTCTAGAGATCTTCTGTACAACATTTTGCCTCTAGTTAATAATACTTTGTTAAATACTTAAGTTTGTTAAGAGGGGTAAGTTAAGTCTCATATTAAGTGTTCTTGCCGTGATAAATTTTTTTAAAAAATGCTCAGAAAAAATCATTTAGTGTTAATATTTTGTTCAGTGTTTTGAAGGATGGAAACTAAAATCTAAATTGTAGAATAGGTATTCATTTTGTCTCCTTTTCAAAAAAAATTTTTTTGCTATTATTGCTGTTGTTGCTCATTTTCAAAAATTAATGTTGGACTTGATTTTCATTCCGTGTAGCTTGTAAGGGAGATTTCTGCCTTGGAGTTACCTGAAACCTGAGTCAATGTAGTAGGTCTTACATAAAATACATAAATAGGCCTGGTGCGGTGGCTCACGCCTGTAATCCTGGCACTTTGGGAGGCCAAGGCAGGCGGATTGCTCGAGGTCAGGAGTTCGAATCCAGCCTGAGCAAGAGCAAGACCCCGTCTCTACTATAAATAGAAAGAAATTAATTGGCCAACTAATATATATAGAAAAAATTAGCCAGGCATGGTGGCACATGCCCGTAGTCCCAGCTACTCGGAAGGCTGAGACAGAAGGATTGCTTGAGCCCAGGGGTTTGAGGTTGTTGTGAGCTAGGCTGACGCCATGACACTCACTCTAGCCTGGGCAACAAAGCGACTCTGTCTCAAAAAAACGAATAAATAAAATGCATAAATAAGCTAAGCAGTGAGCAAAGAGCCAACAATGCAAGCATTATGTTAGTTTTATGGAAATGTTTTTTAATATCCTTGGAGTGATGGCTCCCTTCCTTTGAATACCACTAAGACATTACTCAGTTACCATCTTCTTTTGTGAGAAAAATACCTGATATCTCTCATAGAGAAAGTAGCTGAAGGTCTGAGAAGCAAAGTGTTAAATTTAATTATTGACTGTATATTAGCTTCACAAATATATGTGTTTTTATCTTTTTAGAAATATGTGCTTTCTCAAAAAGAGGCATTTTGGCCACAGTGCAGTTTGTGTTCCCTAAAACCCAGGAAAATTACAAATGTGCTTAAATTCTTATAACAGAAGAATCTGAGTCAATAATGTTCAATTAATGAAATGAGAAGAAATCAAATCAAATCAAGTAATGGTTATTAAATGCCAGGATTAAGCAAATATTGAGTTAAAACCAATAAGTGTCACTTTTTAATAACAAGTAATAAGGGAGCATTTTAAAGTTGGACATGCCATGGAAAATATAAAGTGATTCTTCAAATTTTAAAACAATTTGCAATAGGAATTTTAAATAGTTTGTGGTCTCAATGAGTGAAACTGATTATTAATATTCTCTGTGTTTTTTTATTCATCATATTCTTGCTTTTCTTCTGTACTCACACTCACCTATGCATCACTGATAGCCAGAGAAAGGGTGAAGAGAGAAAAATTTATTTACCAGCATGTAAAGATGTTCAGGGCGTGGCTTATCCTCCACTCAGTTCAGAAATGGAATATCAAACAAAAAAAATCCTCAGCTATGGTCACTCTGAGACCAATGCTAGACCCTCACCTGGTCTAGCCTGACCTTGGCCCATGCCCTACTCATCGTGGGGAAGTTCTCTCCTTCCATCTCAGAATGGTAACTATCAACTTCTGTCAAATCTAAGATTCCACCTATTGTTCAGATGTCCTGCTACTTTCATACCACTAAGAGAGAAGCAATGCTGCCAATTAAACCATGATGTTGCATTTTATCTCATCAACCATAGGCTGCATCCTAATTTCAGAGATGTGAACATACAAGGGAGGGAGAGTATTAATGAATCTAAGCAAGTATTGTTCTTCTCTACATGAAGGAAGGGCATTCAGTTCCACATTTCTGCCATTTCCTTTAAACAATAAAAAGGAAACGCTAGAGGCATTTACATATGAAATATAGCATAAAAGATGTCAGATTGTACAGCAATACTAGAATAACTCTTGAGTACATGATCAGAAAATAAAATACTTGCAATTGTTATTTCAAAAATGCATTGTGAATTATGATATTTCTTTTCTTTTTTTATGTTGGTTAGAGAAAGGAAAACGTGCATTATCTTATCCGTGTTTAGATCCCTCTCAGGTCGAATTGTTGGAGGTGTGTGGTGGTTCTTCACACTCATCATTATATCATCCTATACTGCTAACCTCGCTGCTTTCCTGACGGTTGAGCGAATGGTCTCCCCAATAGAGAGTGCGGAAGACCTGGCCAAACAAACAGAAATTGCCTATGGAACATTGGATTCAGGGTCAACAAAAGAATTCTTCAGAGTAAGTTAAAGGAAAAACTAACAATGAAATATTCATAATTTTGAGATAAGGCAATTTGTCCAACAATTGTTTTATGTATGGGCTTTAGCTATTAGAGGTTTTGTAAACACAGTGGTAACAACTATGTTTAATGCTGATACTTCTACTTGGGTTTTATATCGCTTTAATTTGCAAACAATACATTTATTCAGGTTGGGAGAGGAACCCTCCCTAAGGGTTAGTAATGGTGAAAAGGTAATTAAAGCAACTTTGTAACATAATTTGTCTAAAACATTCTAATGTTGATAATGCTATGATAATACTGGATTTGGCAAGATTGGATTTATGTATGTTTTGGGGCTAAGAACATAAAAATGAAAGCAAGCTATACTTTTAAAGAATACATTTAACTTGCTGCACTTAAATCCCAAAACCTTAATTGCAGATTATACTACTTATATGAGTTATATTATTCTATAATCTATTCTGTAACAATGAACTTCACAGCAACATAATTTGCTTTCTCAAAATATAATAATAGCAAGAACTATTCAGTTCTGGGTGCCTCAGGAAGACATTGTAAGATATTTGATTTGTGCCAATTTCTCGGCTTTGCAGATAAAATTTTTTAAACTGGTATAATTACATTACATACAAATACCAGTTTAAAAATTTTGACTTTCCATCAGGATAGCAGAGTTTTTTAGTTGTTTATTCTGTTATGAGGATGAATTTTTTTTTATCAGTGAACCTCTTTCTATTCTGTTTCTATTTAAATCCAAATATATATAGTTGGTAATGTCTGATCACAGATGAGCATTCATTTTGTGACTTCAGAACCAAAAAATAACAAAGTAGCCAGAGTGACATGTTCACAAATATTGAACTAGTTAATAATGAACACATTTTATATTTATGTCAATCGTTTAAAGACTAGTATAGAAGATACTAATATTTAATAGTATATAAGACAGAACATATTTCATTATTTCTTAAGCTTTTGTGTAAAAGTAATGATAGCTTTAAATTCATTCTTATATTAATATATAATACTTAAGAGATTACATTTTCATTTTAAAGATATTTATTTATAATTCTCACTCAGCTTGAAAATTAAAAACAAAATGTGCTACTTCTTTAACCAGCTTTGACTTTCATGTACTTGAAGTTCACTAAAATGTTTATCCTTTTTAAAAAAGATTTGATTATAATACTCTTATATACTACAGATGTTTACGTAATACTAAATCAAGAACAAATCACTCAAAAACTCAGCCAAACCCATCTTTGGGCACTGCTTTAAAAAGAAACCAAACAATGAACAATGTACTTGTCAACAGTTTAGAGTGTTAGTAGATATATAAAATTTGTAAGGTAATTACAAAGTATCTGCAGATTTTCTTAAAACTGTATTTTTAAGAAGAACATAGCCGTGTCAGTAAATTATATCAACAATATTCTATTAATAAATTTAACTAACCAAGCTTTTATTTTTGAACTTACTAATCACATCCCTGTTTCTAAATGGAAACTGCTTTAATGCATTTTAGCATTTCTGCATATTGCCGGAAGTCTGTCAGTTTGTAACTGCCTCCACCCCAAAGTGAGTAGGTAAAATACAGTGATTTTTGCCTAGCAACCATTATTTATATGCATCAAAATAAAATACAAGTTTGTGCTATCACTTGCACTTTACTGGAAAGTGATTTCTGATTGTCATTATTTAATAAAGAAAATAGATGCAGGCCCATCATTCTGCCTTGAGTGATAAAGGGAAAAAGCAATGTTATACTGAGTTCCTGAAGAAAACTTTAAAATAACTCACTGTAAAGCTCTTTAGCATCAAGCACACTGTAAATGTTTATTTCTAATCTTGATAACTTTTTTTTTAAAGCCCAAATTCAAAGAACTGGTGAGGTAGATAAGAGAATATATTGATAAGAAATATAGGAATGAGGAAATCTGGTTCCTAGCTTTCCAGAGTCTCCCATACAAGCTGTGCAAACACCATGCCTTGCTTCCTTTCTCTCCCACCCAACTTCACTTTTAAATTGGAAGATTTTTATAATATAGGTATTTATTGTTGCAGAACATTCTGAACTCTAATGGGACAAGAAAGTAATTTCCCCTGACAGCACATTATCAGGAATGCATAGATTTGAGTTCTCTGATAAAAATCTCATTCATTTCCTATCCTCCTTGCCTCTCTCCTCTCCATTACATGATGACCTGGTTTAAATAAAACCATTTGTCTGATGGGTTGAGGAAATCGGAACGTGAAGGGTATTTTTGTACCTGTCAAAAACATTTTCTCCTAGGAACATAGTAATGGCACATCTATCAGCTCCACTAAGCTGCCTCAGGCAGTGACCTATACTCAGCACTTCAAAAAAATGTCGCAGTAATAGTCAACTGGAAAGAGAATTAGGCCATAGGGGAAAGTTACATCTGAATTCAACTGTTGCCTTGGTTTGGCTCTATTATGAAACTTGATATGCTTCATGTTCTGTGTACCATGTTAAGCATAAACATGAAGGCATTTAAAGAGTCTGTACTTGTCACTTAATGACAACCTCGCTGTTTAGGTAATTTCATGTTATTACACACCTGTTTCAAGCACACTGATTTTCATTTCAATGCAGATTTTGTCCCATGCTTGTTTCAGTCATCAGTGAAATCATGAATGCATAAATGATGTAGATTACTCTCTCAGGGTTTATAATATTATCAAATAATGCATTGATGAGTTCTCACTAGGACATCAGTCTTGCTACATAAGCTACTAGAAATAATTCACCTGATAGCAAATAAACATTAACTATAGTGCATGATAGTTTCTATTAAAAAAAGACAAATGCTAGAAGACTTATTTTTGGAGAAATTAAAGGGACAGTGCATTTTTGAACCTTCAAGAATTATTTTAAGTAATAAAGCAATGCTTTAGATTGGATAGTTTTCCATGCATTGAGTTTCACAATAAAGATGAAAGCAATAGACCTGAGATTAATTTTCAAATTTCAAAAAATAATGACTTTTATGTTATCTTTTTACTTTTGAACCCTGATTTTTCAGGAGATACTATAGTCAAAGGTTGTAGAGACTTCACAGTTTCATTTATAGCTACGCTTGATACAGAGACCCACTGAGCTTGCTGGGTCTGCAGAAATTTCCTCATTTTAGCCAAAGTCATCAAATTTGTAAATATTTGCTTGCCCGCACCCCTTAGCAATCACTTTTCTGAGGTCACAGATAAGGCACAGGGGTATTCTTTCCAGTCCTGTGATTCTCCATCCCTTCACTGTGTGGATAGGATCTTATCTAAGCTATGGCCCTTTAAATGAGAATCAGAATTTCTAAACATTAGCAAGGTGACAAACCAGGCTAACTTTCTCCCCCCAAAAAACTTGCTTTCATCTTTCCTCTATTTTGTCGATATTTTACAATTGCCACATACCTAAGGCCTCCTAAGTTTAGCATTACTACGCTATATATTCCTCTCTTTCAGATTTTAGAGGGATTAATGCAACTTCTTTTACATTTAAGTTATATATAATTCAATATATTTAAACAAATGCAGCAGTAATTTTCCTCACATTAATATGATAGGAATTGACTACTAAAAAATACCAATGGCCTAAAGATACTTTATTCTTTTAAAAAGGAATAATTTACTGTAATATCATGCTGCATTCTATAGCTAATGATTTTTTATAATTACCAAGCCCTAAAAATACTCTTTTTCCATATTGCTATGTTGGTTTTCTTTAACTCTCTTGTCCCTTTAATAAGTTACTTACTTGTAACAGGAAAATTGGCAAGTAATTAGCATGTTTCTCATATTCTTAAAATTTTTTTTAAAGTACTTCAATTAAAACAATATTCACTTTGATTTTATTTCTTCTGTTTTCAATGTAGTAAAGCATACAATGTATGTGGCGCTCTGTACCTTTTTAGGCAAAACTCTCAGGTCAAGTTATAAATATATTAAAAAGTGGTTATATGTTTAAAGGATGTTGTTTACCAATACTTCTCTAAATTTGAAATTATCAGAATAGATATTTAAGAAAAATCTACACCAAGCGACCCAGAGAGTTTACAGTTTCCAGAACACATTGTATGTGCCCAAACAACAGATGCTGGCGTGGATGTGGAGAGAAAGGAACACTTACACACTGCTGGTGGGACTGTAAACTAGTTCAACCCGTATGGAAAGTAGTATGGAGATCCTCGAAGAACTAAAAGTAGACCTACCATTTGATCCAGCAATTCCATTACTCGGTATTTACCCAAAGGAAAAAAGACATTTTATAGAAAAGACACTAGCACTTGGGTTGTTGCCACATCTTTGCTACTGTGAATTGTGCTGCTATAAATGTTTGAGTGCTAGTGTCTTGTCTATAAACTAACAAATTTACATTAGACTTTGATAAGTCAAGGACATGTAATTGTGGGGTAGTAAAGAAGAGAACTACTAAACTAAAAGAAGTGGGAAACTGGAGTAATAAAAAAAATAATCCAAAAGTGAAAAAAAGAACAAAAAAGAACTCATTGTATGATGGAAGAGTTAGTTCTCTAGAACAGGACAGTATTTTTAGAGATGGAATGAATGAGGCCTGGCAACATGGCATCCCTAGTGGATCCCAGAGTTGATAGATCTAAATCCAAGGACTTGTCTGTCCCGGAAGCACTTAGAATCATTGCAACTGAATTACAGTATTTGCATGGAAGTATCTATTATGAGGATTTCTATAACCAGAATTAAACTGTTATTACATAAACACACACACACATCACAATCTTTATATCATGAGATACCTTTTCAAGTGTTAATAGCATAAAAACATTTCATTAGGATACTACAGGATGTCTATTTCTTACCTTGATATTTATCAACATTTGAATATATATTACAATAAATATCTGTTTATTTGGTATTTAAATATGTGAATCAGTTATTATATCATTTATTATTTAGGTTTACTGATTACTCTTAATAATTTCTCATCTTATGAAATCAAAGTTTTGAGTCTGCTTTTATCAGTTTCTTTCTTCGTCCACTTGAAAAATGTACATTTGCCCCAAAATAAGTATTCTTAAGTTTGCTATTCAAGTCCTGTAATTGATTATTGAGGAATTACTTCTTGTTAAATTCTATGTTCTGGTAAACAAAGGAAGCTCAATGCAAATAAATGTACATGCTATGCAGGATTGGGCCTCACACATAGACTTAAGTCTGAATAAAGTCTCCATCAGTTTCATTTGGATCCAGATACAAAATTTGAGCACCTGGTTATTTAACAAATACAGTCACACCAGGTAAATGTCTGTGTGTGTCATTATATTATTAAACAGGAGCCAGGCCTTTCTATCATATTAAATATATCTTTTGGAGACATTTGAGTTCATGTGGATATATTTTTACATTAAAAATGTATGTATGAACAAAAAAATATAATGTGAATACAGAAGCCAGCAAAAGGACCTGGGTGAATGAAGCAGTGGCAGTAGTGTGGGCAGAGCCTAAAAAGAAGTAATTTACAAAGATACAAGTTTCTTGGATGGAGACAGGGGATTAAGATGCTCTCTAAACTGTAAAGTGAGAAAACAGGAATTTTTTCTGTTTAAAGTTCAATATATGTTCTATTTGGAGATTTTGTCAGATAAAAATCTAAAAATGTTTTCACCAACCCAGAGTTTGATTCTTGTGTTATAGTTATTTGGTTTATAAACCATAGCAGATGTCACCTCCTCCTTTGGTGTTCAACTACTGACTTGATATCGACTGCACTTACGAGAATGAATTTCATTAAAACTTTGAGGCATGGAAAAAAAGATAAAAATAAAATAACTCTCCTTATTTGTTGTAGCTCAAACACAGTATGGAAAGGAATTTTACAAACTTGGAATCAGTTCTCATCTGGTCCTTTTCAGATTTACCATGAATGTGATATAATTACCTGGTCAACTCTCTCTGTGGCACTCTACATTAAGAGAACAATAATCTATTTAAGCAGTTGCATACTGTAACTGCTAACATCACTTTTACATGTCTGTCATTTCAATGATTTCCTGAAATAGTTTTGAAAGGCGGTTTTCCAGTTTGAAAAGAATAATGTTACTGTTGATGTTACTATATGGCAACTTGGAGTTAGAGGGCAATGGAAAGCTACTGAAAGGCTTTATCCTTGTCTTGGTTCGGTCAATATTAACATGTTGTTCCCTTCTTTCCTGTATTTAATTTTAATTTCCTCCAGAGATCAAAAATAGCAGTGTATGAAAAGATGTGGACCTACATGCGATCAGCAGAGCCATCAGTGTTCACTAGGACTACAGCTGAGGGAGTAGCCCGTGTCCGCAAATCCAAGGGCAAATTTGCCTTTCTCCTGGAGTCCACTATGAATGAATACATTGAGCAGCGAAAGCCATGTGACACGATGAAAGTGGGAGGAAATCTGGATTCAAAAGGCTATGGAGTAGCAACGCCCAAGGGTTCCTCATTAAGGTGGGTGGAATAGTATAACAATATAACATGTGTTGTTATAGTATTCCACCTTCCCTGATGTCCCTGAGAGAATTATTTTGTTTTGTGTGTGGACATGGTATGTCTGTTTTTGTTTGTTTATTTTTATTTTACTCCATTTCATATTTTTGGTCAACAATCAGGTAAATTTTTTTTAATTTTAGAATAATTTAATTATAGTTGACATATATCTTTGAAGGCCATATAAAAACCAAACTGGTTGAACACTAGCTGCTTCCAGTGGGCCTAAAATACGGGTAGCTTATGCTTCTATATCTCATCAACTGTTTTTTGGCCACCAAAATCTACACTATCATTGTGTCAGTAATAATTCTACATTTTATCATTATTTTTCAAAATTATGCCTGGCCACTAGTTTCTGAGTAAGAAGAACTCAACCTCTTCCTAGCCAACCACTTTTTTTTTTCATTTCAATATTTCATTTCTTATGGCATCATTCTATTTTAGATTATCCTGAGGTTGTATTCGTGCTAAGTTTGAAATCACATCTATTTATGAGAGCAATCATGATTAGAGGGAAAAATGGGCTCTGGTTTTATAGTGCTTACTCAAGTCACACTCCCGCCTGTTTCAAAGGGAGTATGGTGTAAGTAAGATCTGTAAAATTAGACCCAATGACAATCCAAATATGCCTATAGTTAGACACCTGAAATGTGTGATTCATGAGCAAACCATTACACACATGAGTTAAAAGTGAGACTTTCATTCTTATGGAAATATTGGTTAAATCTGCCCTTTTCATCTTTTTAATCCTGGACATAGAAAAATCCACATGTTTATGTCCAGGAGGCAGAATTTCCTATTTTCCTTAAGCAATAAAGGCTGCTGTTGAATGGATGGGACTAGACCCCATCAAAAGTGATGACTGACAAGTTACTCTGGTCTCAGTGCTGCTTAGGAGAGATTTCTATAAAACACAGATTCAAGAGGAAATCAGGATCTTTGCTAAAGGACTTAACCAAGAACCTGGTCTTGAAAAATGATGTCTCTGGTAAGCCATTGAAAAATGAAGGTAATGAGACCTGTACTATTGCCCAGAACAAATGAAAACAATATAAAAATTATATGATTGTTTTCATTGGTTTCAAAAAGGGAACTGCAATGTGCTTTGAAATGTGTGTTGGGCGGGGGAAGGGTTGAGATATTAGAAACATCTACGAGTGCTGGAAAGGGTTGTGTTAAACCAATATTCTGTGTTTGCAAGCAACACTATAATAATTAGCAAGGGTTTTTATGGTGTGTTACAAAAGGAGCAATTTCAAAAGAAGATAGAACAAAACTAGTCGGTAAAGACAAATTTGGGTGTGGACTTTGGCAATTCTGAAATCGGGTTTGTTCGCACATAGGTCCCATACGAAACTGGAGAAATGTGCAGGGAGAAAGCCAAACTAATTAATTATCCATAATAACATTCTACCCACAAATATCTCAACCATTCAGAAACTTACACTGGCATTAGGATATTTGGTCTTTGAGGGTATATTTTTGTATGATGCAATATGAAAAATGTGTAATTTGAATGAAGCCAAGTAGCAAATAAATCTCCGTTGAAGTTGTAGTTTTAAGAGCATCTTAGTGTAAATAATGTAAAAGAACTAGTAGGGGAGAAAGCAATGGTGGTTGATATGTAGATCAGTGTTCAGACTATTGATTACATTCACTGGGTGTCTCTTTTGCTCTTAATTAATTCTCTGTGGATGTAGCTGCCTTGTCCTCTGTCTTGTGTCTACTGATAAAGTCAAGCTCCAGGGGCTGAATTTGGCCCTCAGATACGGGTGCGCCTGACTCCCATTGATGGCAAGAGAGTTCCCTCTTAAATGTGCCACTTTGTCAAATCCACACTACAGGGATTGTTTGGGGAGAAACTGAAGGGCTTCATCTGTCCAGAACTGTATAATCATCAGCCATTGGCTTCCCCCTCTTTTCCTGTCCTTCCCTGGGTCTGGTTAATGAGGCAATTGTTAAACTCAGCTTCCTGGATGGGGAGTTTGTTTATGTGCTTTGTTTTATATATGCCACAATTTCCTGAGCAAGCTGGCCCCTGCATGCCAAAACGGCAGTCATTTTGTCCTGTCTTTGAGAACATTGGAAGGACACTGAAGGCTAACCAGCATTCACCTTACCCCCACCCTCCTCACTCCCCAAGCCCCAGCCATCTAAGCACGAGGCTCCTTAGGCTTAAATTCTCAGTCTTATTCAACTAGGATTCTTCTGTTTCAAATGAGGCAAACTACTATAGAGATGGACTAATAGGCATCTTCTGTATAATTGATTTTTTTGTAGAAGCGAATTCAAAATAACTGCATTTATCAGAGCAAGATCAAGAAGGCATACCTGCATCAAGTGTCTTTGACATCTTTTTGTCTTGTATAGTTCAGTAGAGATTTAAGTCTGTTTTCTTAGAGAATCTGTCTTTTTTTTTAATCAGGTAATCAGTTCTTTAGGTTAATAGCTCTGGACAGAGTGAGATTTGTGTATTTCATTGTCATTAACAATGGCTTTCTCATAAACTCTGCTGTTTTGATTGATTGGGCAACATGAGATTTTTAAGAAAAAGAAAACAGCAATCTTTCCTTCTATGTAAGTTTAACCAGAGAATGCAGACAAATGACTAGCAATGTTCCATTGGTCTAGGGAGTTTGGAATGTTCACATCTTGCTGTTTGTCCAAAGTGCTTCAGAATAAATGTCACAGAAAAGAGGAAGAGTATGATATATAATCATAATGGAAAGTCAGGACTTGCATCTATAATGTAGACTTTAAAACAAATGTAATAAGGATTATCGCAGACAATGTGTCTGTGGGTGGGCTAAGAAATAACACAACAGTGATGACTAGCACCTGTCTTTTTGGTAAAGAACAAAACAGAGCTCTTTACTGTTTGGAGACTATTTCAGACTTGTCTTTTTTGGATATATACAATGAACTGTGAAACTATAGACCTATCACTAATCAATAACAATGCCCAGAAATTATTGGTTTATTGGACTTTGACATAGATTCTCCAATTTTTAGGTGACAGACTAATGCCAGGTATATTGATCCTGTTATTTTCCTAAATTTTCTTTCCACATGCACAATACTATTTATACTTTTACCAATGCCATGGACATCTCCCTCCTCCCTTTTCCAGTACTCTTGGCAATCCAGAAACATAGTAAAAGCCTTTCTCTGGCTGAGAAATTTTTAAAGTTAGTTTATAATATACACTTCAGATGGCAATGCAATGGAATGTAAGGTTTAGATGAAAGAAGAAACATATTTACTTTGACTTTACTATCAATACTATCCAATACTATCAACTTAACAAATTTACTACAGTATAGGTTTTTACTATACTATAATATTTATAGTGTAGTAAAGTTGTGTACATTACTATCAAAATACTATCAACTTCAATATATTGGCTATACTACCGTGTTTCCCCGAAAATAGACACGGTCTTATATTTATTTTTCCTCAAGAAGACACCCTAGGGCTTACTTTCAGGGAATGTGTTATTTTTTTTAAGTACAGTACAACAATCTACATTTATTCAAATATAGTTAAGTCGTCTTCTTCTGGAACATCATCATAGCTCTCCAAACCCCGAATTCCATCCTGAATTTCTTGCGACTCTATTTCCTTTAGAACCATTGGCCCCAATCTCTCATGTGGAGCAATAGAGCTCTCATGGGGCAGATGAGAAGGGCTGCTCGTCTTCTTTACCGCTCCAAGAGGAAATGCATGGGTTGTGCAGATAGGCTGTGTAGCCACACCCATCACTAGGTCTTTTTTTCAGGGTAGGGCTTATATTGCGCAAATGCTTAGAAATCCTGCTAGGGCTTATTTTATGGGTAGGTCTTATTTTCGGGGAAACACGGTAGTTACTATACTATTGACTTTACTATGCAATAAATAAACTTGTTAAAGGTTGTTTAGAGTGAATCATAATTTGGTTGATACAGATTTACTATTAAGTGATTAAGTGATTACTATTAAGTGATTATTAGATAAGAATCCACCTTTTAGGCTGGACGCAGTGGCTCACGCCTATAATCCTAGCACCCTGGGAGGCCGAGGCGGGTGGATTGTTTGAGCTTAGGAGTTCAAGACCAGCCTGAGCAAGAGTGAGACCCTATCTCTACTCAAAATAGAAAGAAATTAGCCGGACAACTAAAAATATACAGAAAAAATTAGCCGGGCCTGGTGGCACATGCCTGTAGTCCCAGCTACCCGGGAGGCTGAGGCAGAAGGATCACTTGAGCTCAGGAGTTTGAGGTTGCTGTGAGCTAGGCTGATGCCATGGCACTCTAGCCTGGGCAACAGAGTGAGACTCTGTTTCAAAAAAAAAAGAAAAAAAGAATACACCTTTTAAAGATATTCGTAGTATCTAGCATCTGTAAATACCTCCAGAGAAAAAAAGCAGTGGATCATATCTGAATTTTCTCTGGCCCTTGTAAGGGTTTATGTACTTGACCCCAATGTGTGAAGCCAAATTAAAAACCATAGTCTCATATACTTTTATTATTCAACGGTGATAATTCCTACCCAAACTTTGCCTTGTATAAAGATGTTTGTGGGACTGTGTCTAAAATAAGGCAAATGTTCTGTCATCAAAAAGTAAGAAAGCAGTTGCAGTAGAACTTGTATCAGTGAGTAAGATCTGGAAAAAATGAGGCCCATTTGGACTTGGCAATGCCCAGCTGCAGGAACCCATGGCAATAAGAATTAATCCTTTGAAACCAGGCACATCATGCTTACTTTACAACAGGCCACTCAGAGCCCCAGGGTAATAGCATGGCAGCAGGGAAGAAGTACTAAGAATGGGAATTAGAATACCACATCTTTCATTGGGTTGGTTCTTTCAGTATTTAACAAAATCCCTGGCCTCAAAGGACACTTGGCCCACGCCTAGATCTGTATCAGGGTAGGTAGAGTTCTCTGTAGGCCAAATTACATTTGGTCTACTTTGGAGGATT